GTGTGTGTGTGTGTGTGTGTGTGTGTGTGTGTGTGTGTGTGTGTGTGGATGCACGGACAGATGGATGGATGGAAGGATGGAGTGAGTGTGTGTTTGAGAGAGAGGGAGGGGTTTGCCATTTGATCCTCTGCAGCAAAAAACAGAGATGCTCTCTTTAAATGTCAGCCACCTTTAGTGGTGCGCAGATAAAATAAAATAAAAAGTGATAAAGAAATAAACCGCGGGCTCGAGCTGCACATTTCGCCGGATTTTTGAAGCGCTCATCTAGTCGGATTCACCCCGAGAATGTGAGCCTGTGCGTTGTGTTTTTCATTGCCCCCCCCCCCTTGCTTTGCTTAGATGGCCACGTAATGTGCTGTGTGTGCTCCTCGCGGTCTGTCAAAGCACCTGCGTCCTAAGATGGAGGAAAAAGATGAGGGATGATGATACACAGTGTTATGTCACCCGCTACTTAAGTTGCTCTCCATCCCCCGGTGTGGTGAGGCGGCTCGACATCGCTCGATCACTGACAAACTTTAGCTGCTAGTTTAGATGTGAGAGATTTTCTTTCGGGAGGTTCGAGGCAAAAACCGTCCAAACTTACTTCACTTCCCCACATTGCTGTTTGAAAATCACCCTTCTTTAGAAAAAATCATGTCAGTTTGTCTTTTTAAGGAAAATGTTTGATAAATCTGGAATGATGTTTTGCTTTTATAATGATAGAATATGTTTGACTGACTTTACCTGCTTTTGAAATGTAAAGACAGACCTCTGTTTGGCAGTGGTGAGTTTTTTTAAAAGTCTGCAGTTGTGTTTAAAGCGTAAAGGCTGTTTCATTCAATTTAATTTAATATATTTTGTTTCACCCAAAAGCCTCAGAGGGCTTTACAATCTGTACACATGCGGCTTCCTCTGTCCCAGGACCCTCACATCAGTACAGGAAAACCCCTTGAAGGGGTAAAAAAAGGAAGAAACCTTAGGGAGAGCAACAGAGGAGAGATCTATAAGTGAAGCCCATGGAAATGTGCAGAAGGAGCCTGTGACGCTCTGTTGTTGGGCTTGCATGTATAGGATGAACACCGAGCTCAAGATGTCATGATAAAACACCTATTGTTGTTCTTCTGTCTACTTTTCCTAAGAAAATGTAGCCTAGTTTCTGGGGATTACAGAATTAGGTTATTGGTGCCTTATGCTGTCAGTGGCGGCTTTGACAGCAGAGAATGGAGCTGCATGCAGCAGCAGAGGCCCGATCTGAAGTTGCTTCTGTCTTTTCTTTAGTTATCGTGATAGGACGAACCCTTTCTATTTATGAAGGGCTGAATAGCCCTGTGGTGAGGACAGCAGGTGCCGGAGGAGGGAGGGTAATAAACATGTTGGAGGAGCAGCTGTGGCCAAATTGCACCTTCGTCATTCAAAGCCTATCAGAAATCTAAGCAATACAAGCAAAGGTCAGGGATGGCCAGGCTTTCAATGGAAAGGAGGCATTTAAAATGAAAGCCTGGAAATAATGAATTTCATGCCATATGTCAAAAGGGAAATAAATACAAAAAATGTAAAAAAAAAAAAACAGAATTAATTAAAAAGTAAGCAGAATGTGCATACATTCTCAGATAGAAAAACATGACATACAGAACTGTTTAGAGCATCACAAAGTGCTGCCTTCAGTGGAGGACTTTCAGGTGCACAGGTCCCTACAGTTAGCCTTGTGTTGTTTCTCTGATGCTGAGGTCAGGTTGGCCCTCAGGGGAGCTCCTCCAAAGGCTGTTACCATGGCACCACCCGCCCCTAAACTCCCGTCCCATAACTGATAAAACCACCTCACCCTGACCAAATCCTGGCCTCTCGTAGTTAACTCTGCTCTGTGTTACTCCAGCTTCAGGCTGGGAAATACAACTGATGGTTCTGACTGAAGGATTTATCTGAATTGTATTTTTCTGGTTATCTACACAGCACAAAAACAAAATCTGCCAGATAATCTGGTCAGTTTTTCTCATCCTGTGACACAAAAGAAAGCAGCGAGTAATACGAGAGCGTCCCGCTCCACAACTTTTGATTTCTCTGTCTCTTCTACCCGGCTCGCTGTAATAACACTAAGTTGCCTCTAAATCCTGCTTAACAGGACCAGGGGTGTACAGCTGGCCCTGGCCCTGTACGTACACTAATACTGTTACAGACAGTTCACCCTGGTATTTAATCTAACTATGGATTTAGGCCTCTTTGCTCTATTGTCCCTGTATAGTAAGCCGCCTGCCTATAATGGTATTACTCAAGCCTAAACTTTGTTTTCTGGTAAAAGGTTTTTTTAGTTTCAATTCATAGACTACATGTGTTGATTTATTAACTAAGGGTTTTTGTGCCGAAAACAGGAAAGATTTTCTTAACTTTGCCTCACAGAAAGGCTTTGATAAAAACACAGAATCCTGGTAGTAAAATAGGATATTTAATCCATTCATTCTGTATTCAGCCCCCCCTTACTTCTGATTAACCAAACCTCCCCGGTGAACGACTAATTGTCTCGTACTCCAATTTTCTCTTCCAAATAACGAGCTGCGAGTCTTGTAGGTGGGAATGAGCCGAATCTGATCAAAGAATAAGAGAGCACATATCCTGAGCAGACAAGGCAAATTAGTGTTTATGTTTTTTTCATCTGCGAGGGATCCAGGTGTTCAGGTTTTCACGCTAAACAACAGATGAAAGATAGAAGGGTCTATTCAGACACCTTTTCTGTGATTAATTGCCTGATTCTATAAACCTCCGATTTCTGACGCAGGTTCAAACTGTCCAGATGTGTTTCCTCTGTGTCTAGCAGAGCAGTGGCTCAGGACTGAGGGAAGTGAGCAGGGATGTTGACACATGGCCCGAGGCCCTGTGTCCTAATAGAGCGCTGTTCTATGCTTGGCATTTAGGGAGGGCTCTCTCAGCCTCTTGGCCTCCAAACCAAGAATGCAGGATGGATGCTCTCTTCCCTTTACTCTAAGAGGAGGGGAGAAAAAAGGAAGCAGCGATTTGGTGCTGGAGACAGAGAGACAGAGATGCAGACGAACATTATTGCTGTTGTAATCACTTTTTTCCTGAGGGCGGAGTGAAAGTTGACAAACAAGCACTTTGCAAAGAGTGCTGGCTGGGCTTTGCCGAGGTTTGCACTTAACGGGCAAAGTAGGGATGGGCGAAGAGAGGGGGGTGAGTGGTGAGTTCGACAGAGGGGGGGGGGGGGGGGGGTGGGGGGGGGGGGGGCGGGGGGGGGGGCTCTGGGTGGGGACCCCTCGGATACGGACCTGCAGCCTTTTGTTGTCTCACAGACCGCTTGGTTTTAGTGTGCACTCTGCATGCACTGTGGGTTCACGTACAGGACAGCACGAGCAGAGAAAATAACTCTTGCTGTGTCTTTGAAAGCAGTAAGAAGACAGATACCTGATGGGAGACAATGAGATGGACACATCTGGCCTTACTCTCTACAGAGACCAAGTCCAAGTGTAAAGAGATTGATATTGTGTTGCCTCTCAGGCTACATCAATGCAATCCTTTTAAATCTGAAACCGTCCTTCAGTTTTAATCTAATTAGAATAGTTTGAATCCCCACTGTAGTAATCGTCATGATTACTCTTCCACTATATTGCTGCTTCAGTTCAGTAGAGTGGATTCAGCCCCAACACCATGGTCAGTCTGATTCCTCTAAGATGTTGTTGAGTATCGACAGATGGGTGGCCCATACTAAAGAGAAGTCGCTGTAAACTCAAGGGTGCTTGCTTTTTCACCGTCCCGCTGCCGACTGCAAAGACGCACAATCCATATAGAGGTGAAAGCCAAAGGGTGTGTGTTATATACAGTATATATATAGAAAAGAATCAGATTTCACTGTACCAGCTCAGCGGTACATAAAAAGAGAGAGCGAGAGCGGCGGCCGCTTGTTTTGGAGTCTCACAGATGAAGAGTCTTACAGCTACACTAGTTGAAATGTTCAGCGTCGGGCATTCATAGAAAAATAATCTGCACTCTCCCTGAACTTGAAGCTGTGGGAGGACGGGGGGGGGGGGGGGTACGACCCCCTCGACGGTTAAGACGACTCTCTGTTTGGTATCGAACGCCTCCAACAGAACCAGAGAGAGGGCAGAATGGAAAAAGGAATCTGTGGTAGATGTAATGTGTGTTCTCCTGGACGATCAGGAATACCAAGTGAAGAGCTATTACCTTGATGAAAAAAAGGGGAGAGAGGGGGAGAGAAAAAGAAGGCCTGATTTATGTATGATTCATTATTTACTGACCATTCTTCAGCCCCTCTCCTCTCACGTCGCCCTTCCCCCTATTTGTTTATATATGCACCCTGAAAAGCTCGATAAAAATGCGCAAATTTGATTGATTCTAATAGTAGACTGACAGGGACCCCAGCTGGGGCACTTAGCCATGCCTATGTGTGTGTGTGTGTGTGTGTGTGTGTGTGTGTGTGTGTGTGTGTGTAAAGCATACACACTGTTCCTTTAGTTAATAAAGGAGTGTCTGCAGCATGCTCCAGTGCCCCGACCTTCCCTCAAAGTAGCACCCCCACCCTACACTCACTCCCTTTATCCAAACTGCTGCCCCGTCCATTGGTGCTGATGCGTTGATTTCATATGACAACTCTCTCTTTTTTTTCTCGGGTCTTGTCCCACCTCCCTGTTGGTTCTGTCTCTAGAAAATGAGTTCCGGGGCGAGCTGGTGAACCAGCGGTGGACACGAGGTGAAAGGACCAGCAGCCGCTGCCAGGCCTCCCAGAGACTGCAGAGCCGTCGACCAATCATGGTGAGTGACAAGGCCCCGCAATCCCTTCCCCTCCCCACCCCACCACTTTTTCGCCCACCCCCAACACACACACCCCTTCCAACCTGATTCTGCTTCCTGGGCATTTCCCCAATCCCCTAACTCAGCAGGGAAAGTCAAAAAGGGTGGAGGCGGAGGGAGGGGAGGATGGAGAAAAGAGCCAGTCTGTGTGTGTGTGCATGTTGGGAGGGGGAGGGGGGAGGAGGGAGAGGGGGGATTGATGGCATTGACATGGAAATCATGAATCAAACAGCACATCAAATCTCCCGCTTGGCCCCGCCCATCCTCTGCTTCAGCCCCACTCAGCTTAGTTCAGTTTAGTAAAGCTCAGCGTGGCACACAGCTCAGCGTTTTCCCGCTGCTAAGTTCACTTCACAGGATTTTTTTTTTGTATTGAAACACAATCAAAAAAAAAGAAACTCAAAATGATGTCCTTGAGCTGCTCATACTTTTTTTGTCCATGATATTCCTCCTTATCAGCAGAGTAGAAACCTCTTTTCCTCTCTCTAACCCACTCTGCCATCCTAAACCTGTATACGCTCGTTCTTCTAATACTTCTGACACAAATTGCTGCCATTTCAAGGTTATTTCTCCATTCTGTAAACATCTGGTCCTTTTTTTCTCCCTGTGCATCACAACTGAGAGTGTGACACCTGACAAAGAGATGGAGGGATTGAGGGGAGATTGGAAGAGAGAGGAGCGGGGGTTGGGGGTTGTTTCCCCCTGGGCCCAGTAAAAGTAGTTCTGCTTCCCCGTGATGGCTCGGGTTCATCTGAAGAGATGACTTTTATTGATTTGGTTTGATTTCTGCTGCTGAGGGAGCCGAGGAGGGAGAGGCGTTGGTTTCAAACGCCGCATCATGTGAAGCGGCCCCCGTCTGTTTGGCCCGACACTTATGATACCTGGCCGTCACACAACCTCCTTATTATCTTTTTTAGACTTGTGGCAAGCTGAGGTGAATGAAACGGACTTAAAGATGAGAAGATGTTTCGTCTTGAATGCTGAAATCACATCAGGATGACTCACTCTGTAAATGGCAAACCTCTGACAGCACGCATACTCACATCTGACCCATTATGCAGTCACACATGCTCAGTCTTTTTGCATATGGAGTGAGAAGCACAGCATCTCCCCTCCTCCCTCCTCACCGCTCCGCTATGCTTTGTGTGAATTATTAAAGTGAAACTGTGGAAGGGCTCGCCGCGCGGCCATCTAACATGGAGGCTGCTCAGCGTGGTCCGCCTGTCGACTGAACTCTAATTGGCAGCTGCTGTCCGCAGGTCATTTTTGGAGATGTCAGTCTTCGTCGTCAGTTGTGAACGCTTCTCGCTCTGTGTCTCCGCCCCACCTTAACCTCCTCCTTTCCTTGTCCTCACTCTGGTAAACCTAAAAATGAATAAAGGAGTCATTTATGTGCACTGTGGGACGAAGGGTGACCTTCTCTCTGAAGTCATTGCCCCCAGCCAGTCATTTACATAGAGCTGTCAGAATGCAGAGCAGAGCTGGGGCCCTCCTGCACCGACCGCTGCACACAAAGAAGTACATAATTGATAATGTACAACACAGCCTGTAGGGATGAGCCACGTCTTCCTCCTCCCCCTTCTTCTTCTACTGCTGCTGCTCCACACCACATTTCACACTAGTTAAACCCCAACACACACACACACACACACACACATGCGGACCTCCTTCTCATCTTTTCCCTCTCTGTTCTGTGTGCTGTGTAGGCCCACCGACATGCACCGTTCAAGCAGTTGTCTAATTAAAAGACAACAAGGTAAAAGACTTGGAACATACTTTAAGAAAGGCCCTTTGAAAGAGATCAAGATCAGGTCAATGCCTGCCTGGCTGCATCTTGATTCACTTGCTGTGACTTTGTGTTCATACAAATTTAATGAGCTGGAATTGAGAAAAGGGACAGAAAAAAGAGGAGAAATTCAGATGTGCTTACCTATTTAAATGTGTGTAGCTATGGTTACGCAAACATGAAAGCGATAGGGGCCCTCCTTTTCAGTCCATGCAGGTTCTGATTCATCTGATGACTATGAATTTAAGGAGGAAGGAAAGGAAGGGGGATGAAAAAGTACAGGAGGAACAGAATGGTATATCGTGTTTTCATGAAGGGGGGGGCGGTATCTCATCCACACACACACACTTAGAGTCAGAACTCAAAGTGGTTCACCAACGTACAAATCCACCAATGTAACCATTTGATTCATCAATGTTTAGCCTTCAATTCTTCTCTCAAACCCACTCACAGGTCAGTGTTCAGTCGTAGTGATTCAAATCCTCTGCAATGCTCATCCACACTCCTTACTAGAGGAAGAAGTAAGCAGATGTTTTATAAAAGTAAAAGTATCAATTAGAGTTTAAATAATCAATTGATTAATCAATTGATTGACAGATTATTAGTTAATAGTCTATTTACATTACTATTTACAGTCTATTTAATAGTCTATTTACAACGCTGCCGCTTGTTGCTCGACTCCTACAAACAGTGCCTGATCCAAAGATTTGAGGCAGGAGAGAGAGAGAGAGAGAGAGAGAGAGAGAGAGAGAGAGAGAGAGAGAGAGAGAGAGAGAGAGAGAGAGAGAGAGGAAGGAAGGGGCCTGTGCCTGCACCTGTACCTCCGGCGGCCAAACACTAGACACTAATGAATGAAGCGCACCCTCCTCGGGGGCCTTAACAACAACAACAACAGCGTGCTTCATCTTCCTCTCATCCCTCTTTCCCTCCTTCTTTTCATAAGTAGTCTATTAGCAGGAAGGGGCATTGCCAAATAGAGAGAGGCAGAGGAAAAAGAAGAAGGAGAGGAACAGGGCCCCTGTGTTTCAATCCCACTGTGGCGGTGCCAACTTGACTATAGAGAAGCAACAAAGCCGCTAAGTGCCTGGGCAAGGAGAGGGGAGGTTGGGCAATGAGAGGGGAGGTGTAGAGGCAACTGGGGTGGAAGGGGAGTTAGGAGTTGAGGGGGCAGTGTGAGGCAGAAAGAGAGAAAGAGGGGAGACCTTCGATTAATAGTCCAGTAATCAAAGCTAACTGCTCCATTGTGTCTTAAAAAGCATCTGATAGCTTCAGAGTGCACTGAGAGCAGCGTTGAGCGAGGAGAGGTGGTGCAGAGGAGGTGTGGCCCAGGGTCAATATGTGTGTGTGTGTGTGTGTGTGTGTGTGTGTGCTACTCACTGCTTACTCCTAGCTCGGCTTTTAAGCCACAAAGGAGCAGGTGTTAACCCTGCTGCCGGGAACACACACACACACACACACACACACACACACACACACACACACAACTCCTGTTGTTAAAAGGGTTATTACAGTGGCATTTTAGCAGCCCGTATGTTTTTGCTTTATTATTATATTCAGCATAGTCAGGATGGTCGGGGCCGTGGCCCTTGTGAGCAGAGGGACTGCTACAGTGTACAATCATGTGTACCATTCAGGTGTAGGAAATTACAGGGAGAGTAATGGGGGGGGGGGGGGCGAGGGGGGAAAAGTAGCTCAAACAACAGGGTTTGTTTCCTTTCCATACTCTTTATTTCTGTCTCTCTTCTGATGAAGTGAGCAGAACGGAAGACTCAGAATGTATGTGGGTTTTTTATTTTGATGACGGGTGAGGAGCGATGTTTTGCGAGAATTAAAGATATGATCTCTTTGTGTCAGCGTTACCCTTGGTGTGTTTCAATGGGAGCATCCTGAGTGAGGGTTATTATAGCAGGTCTTTTAAAGCAGAGGAAGGACAATTACCTGTGGCTGTGTGCTTGAGTATACTGGGAAATAACCACTCACACTCTCTTTCCTCTCCTCCCTCCTTTTCTCTGTTTCCTCCTTTACGCACTTGTCTCCTCTCTGCCTTCCTCTTTCTCCTCTTCCCTCCTCCCCAGATGAGTGTAGAGGGTGACGCCAAGCGAACTCGCACTCGGTCCAAAGGAATCAGAGGTGAGTGTTTGTCATCTCTCCTACATGTCTGGCCATGTCTGCTAAAGGTGTTTCCTTGCAACTGCTCTCTCACACACACGCACACACACACACACACACACACACACACACTTTACTCCTAACATCAGTATATGTACCTGAGCAACAATGCTGTGTGTTAAGGTGTATATTGATGTGTGCGTATGCTGTGAAATGTCTCTCAGTGTGAATATAAACAGCTTAGGTCCAACAGAACAGATGCTTTGGCCACTTTTTGCCACCAAACGTCACACACCGCTTCTTGTCAGTCACAATACATCACAGAAAGTCATTGGGGAAGAAAAACTCCAGATCTTTGCTTGTAATCATCAGATTCCTGAGTGAACGGGAAGCGCTGGCAGCCAAAGCAGCATGACTCCAGATTTACACTCGGCTCCATACTAAAAACATGACGTTTCAATAGACAGACTTTGTGGATAGTTCATCCTGGATAAAAACGCTAATGCTGCACACGTGTTATTCTTACCGCAGCTCTTATATTGAAGCCTGTCAAGTTGGGGACGTCCTGAAAGTGCATGCAGAATGGCCAAGAGGGCGTTGCAGATTTTTTTAATCTCTCAACTTGATTTTCATCTGGACCTCCTCCCATTTTCATGCCTTCGCACTGCCAACACTGCGGCTGGAGGCATTATGTTTTCTGGTTCTCCTGAACGAGATATCTCAGAATGGCAAAACAAACGTCCCACTCACAGATGAGCAGTAGTCAACTGAAGCTACACATTTCTCAGGAGGTGCTATACTGGCCTAGAAAGCGGAGTTCTCCTCGATCCTCTGGCTCCAGTAGATCCGGCTCAATATCTGAGTCGGCTAAAACACTGTAAAATGTGTCCTCGTCCAGAACGTCTTTTGTACTCATATTTCTATTGCATTACAAGAGAAGAGAAGTTCTGTTTTTGAGCAGTATCTCCAACGTGACTCCTGCTACCAACAGATAGATAGAGGCTTGTTGAAACAACCTGAAGTTCTTCCTATCTCCAACTATATGACTGTCACTTTAAATGACGGCTCTGGATGCAGGAAGAACAACAGATTTTTCAGCAGAAGAACGCAGGAATTTATTGCGTTAATTGACTTTATTTCCCATTAACACTTATTGGACATAAAAGGTGGAAAATTTTCCCTCCAAGTGTTTTACAGATTTTACTCCGATTAGACTACAAATCCTGCTTTATCTGATTCATTTAGGTACATTGTTTGAGCATTATGCTCCTTTACGAGCAGCTACACTCACACATATACACATAAGGAGAAAATAATGGTTTTAGAAAGCAATTTATCACAGAAAATGAGGCAGTCTAGATGATTTCTAACCATCTCTTGTGTAGTCCAAATACAGATATTTATGCAAACATAAACATGTATGCATGTTTATGTTTGTGTTTGAATATGTATTCGTGTACATGTACATATTGGTACATGTGTCTTTCTCCATGCAGTTGTATGTGTACCAGTGTGTGTTTGTGTGTTTAGAGAAACAGTTCAGGAAGGCGTCCAGTCTCTCCAACTGCATGATGAAAGATGGAGAAACTGAGCCACTGCACACACACACGCACACACCCTTATCAAGCTTGTGTGTATTTCCTATGCTCTTATTGTATCTTGACACCAGCAGTCTTTCTGACGTGTGATTAATGCATGTGATATCGGAGCCCAAACTCAATTCTCCAGGATCATATTGTTTTCTCGTTTGCTCCAAATAAAAATAGGATATATTTCTCCGAACTCATTCTATCGCTCAGCTCTCGATCGATGCCTGCAGCCAGCAGAGAGCCATGTGTGCGTGTTGTTTGTGAGCAGCGCTTGATTTATGTTTTGAAGGCAATTACTATAAGTTGTCCCTGAAAGAAGTGCTGTTTTTTCTACTGATGAAGGCAGTTTTCCCTTTTAATTTCACTTTGCCAATTATGATAACTAAAGTGCAACAATTAATCATGTTTTATTGCTGAAGTCTGCTTTTTTTTTCTGAACAGGACGATGTAATTTGGCTGAACTAGGTTTTCTCTGTGTGTATGCTGTTGTGTTGGCCTGTGTGTGTGTATGTGTGTATGTGTGTGTGTGTGTTATTCTACAGTATAGGTACAATAAACTTTAAAACTATCTTAAAATAAAGAAACATTTTATTTAAACTTCTCTTTTTAATTCTGTTGCACTAAAACTTTAAACTCCAATTTAAACTTGGTCCAGTATTAACTTTAGACTTGTGGAGGTTTAAGTTTTTCACATAGATTGAGCAAAATAATCAAGTTCCCAGAAGAAAGTTAAGGGACAGACTCATAAACCAACAGGCCATCTTTTATTTCACTGTTCTGTTGTCTGTTTTTTATCTTCTATTTTTGACCATATTGCTCCGTTAATTCAGCCAACAAGTTTTTCTCAAAGGAGGACTAATTGGAGCTTTTCTGCTGAGTCATCATAAGTAACGTTACACTAACTAACTGACTTTTTAGCTTGCTAGCTATCAAGCGATGGGACGTTTTGTTAAAGAAAACAAAGCAGCCCCCTCTTTTATAGACTACTTACTAGGTCTTGACAGCACGCTCATTTATTTATTTATGTATTTTAAATTTTTACAGCAACCATCAATTTTGGTTTAAACTTGGATTTACTAAACAAAGATTAGTTTTTAATGGTGCAGGGCTCTGGATTTACTCATTGTAAACCTATCTTTGCTAAACTCTGATTAGAAGTAATTCTAGATTACATTAACCCTTGTTGGAACAACCCAGCCTATGTTTGTGCAGGCCGGTGCTACACCCCTGTATGTTTCCTGCTCACTCTTGTGAAAATGTGTTTGTATGTGTGTGTGTATGTATGCATGTAGATATGCGTGTGTGTGTGTGAGCTCATGAGTGTGTAGGTGTTTTTTCTACTTCTCCTGATCATGCAGTCAGCCGTGTGTGTGCCTCTATGAGGAGGCCTCATGGGATTCGTATGCATTTGTGATTTATTGATCTGAGTTTCTTTTAGCAGCGCAGCTTTCAGAGCAGTCGTTCACCTTTGTTCTCCCTCCCTGTGTCTTTCTTCTCCTCCCCCATCTCTCTCTCCCCCTCTCCTCTCAGTTCCTATTGAGCTCGTAGGACAAGAGCTGAGGTAAGGAAACACCTTCATCTTTGTGCAAATCCCTTTCATAAAGTTATTTTATGTGCACCGTAGAGCACCCCCCGGCACTTGTAGACTCACTATCAGTGCTTCTTTAGATGATGTAGTATATATATATATATATATATATTTATTTTATTTCTCATCGTCAGCACTTCTCGTGGTCAGTGTCTCCAACAGGCTGCTATTGATTTCTCATGGCCTTTTTGCCATTTCCTGCTATGAACACATACAGTAGAGAATGAAGGGGGCGGGGCGTAAGATCTTTTTTTGCGGTCCGATCGAAGGATGGTGAAGCGCGATGATTCTGTTTTTCTGCTGCTCTACCTTGCTAGTTCTTCTCCTCTCCTCTCCTACCCGGGCGGCAGCTTGCAGGGCCTCTCCAGTCATGAGAGCCATTGTCCTCCTTCCTCTGCCTTGATTTAAATTATTTTTTCATTCTCTCTCATTTTGTCACACTTCACCTCCAAGCATTGATCTGAGCTCTGCACTCCAAAATAAGCCTTTTGATTTCTGGATTAAGAAAAAAAAACAGTAGGAAGGCCAGAGAGAGCCTCATTTAAAATGCAAATGCAGCAATTTTTTATAAGTGAAATTAATATTAAGGATAATTGGAGTAATAAAGGACAATTGCTGGGGGGAAGTTAATGAGAACTGAAATGAGCTGTCCTGAGGGGTCATGGCAACCTGAATCAGAGGAGATTCTGTCATCACCTGATGATGATGACAGGTGAGGAGAGCAGAGCAGGGGAAATTACAGCAGGTCTCGGTCTGATCCTTATCGCTCATAGTAACAGGATATAGGCCAGGCTTGATGTACGACATACAATATTATGTTCTGCACGGCTTGATGCCACCTGCATTCATGCATATGTGTGTCTGCTGGATGGTCGGGGGGGCATCTCTGTGCATGTGTGTGCTCAGTTTGCATGTCTTTGCTTTGTTTTCTTGATTTGCTTTGTTTATTGCCTGTGGTTATCATTGCCTCTGCATAGGGACTAAAATGCACCCTGTCTTAAACATATCTCTAACCTCCATCCATCCCATCCAGCTGCCCCACCCCTGGATGCAATGGCTCTGGCCATATCAGTGGGAGATACTCACGACACAGAAGGTAGGGCAGATTAAAAACCCACCCTCTGTCTGTCCTTCCTCTCTGTCTGTTTGTCCTCGTCCTCTCTGCCCCACAACATCTGCTTTGTTGAAAATACAAACGTGATGCCTTGATTTTTTTAAAAGGAACACTTCGATATTATGGGAAATGCGCTTATTTGCTTTCATGCCGAGTGTTAGATGATAAAAGCAATACCGCTCTCATGTCTGTGCTAATTATGAAGCTACAGCCAGCAGCTCAGCATTAAACTGACTATCTGTCTCTGTCCAAAGGTGACAGAATCCACCCACCAGGACCACACAAAGACAAATACAACTCTTTGTTTTGTACCGGACTATTTCTTGTCGAGGTGCGGTGCCTTCTCTGGCCTCCCTCACTACATCACTCACAGTTATGGCAAGACTCCAGGAAGTCACTTGCAGGCTAGCTGTTCCCGGTTCCAGTCTTGATGTTCAGATAAGATAGGATGTAATCGAGAGCAAGGCCGCTAAATTCAAGTCAAGACTGAGACCAATTCAAAGCAGAGTCACAGTCATAAAAACAGTTTCATGTTTAGTGTGTTTAGTTATAAAATTTGAGGAAATCTAAAAAAAAAAAAGAAGATAAAAAGGACATTGTAAAGCAGAAATATTTATTTTCTGATTTATTGTGGTAATTATTTGGACCCCTGAAGTTTATGTTGTGATTGAAGACACGTTTCTTTAGCAAAAAATAAACAAGACGTAAGGATAGAATCCACATATTTTAGAGCTTGAGATTAGACTATTAGAAAATAATCTGTTTTTGAGATTGCACAGAAACTCCCAGAATAAAGTAAAAGTTTTCAGTGGACAGCAGTGAGACGGGATTTCTTCAGGTTTTATTGGAGCGTAATTCTCCCTCTCTCCTCATCTGTGTCGCTCGCCCTCAGAGTCCTTGCGAGACTCGGGGCAGCTCACTGGCTTGTGACTCCTCTTTATTGAGGGGCAGATATTAGCTGTCTGTTTACATGTGTATTCGTTCAGCAGGCAATTTCAGATGCACTTTGTTTATAGATCTTCCCCCAATCTCCCTCGGCATCTCCCAGGTGAGAGTAAGAGGGAGTTTATTGGATTTCACCCTCCACTGCCTCGCCCGCCCGCTTCTCCATACAAGTTGTTCATTAAACGTTCCAGTCAATTAGCTGCGATCACTTGTGATTTCTGAGTGAGCCCACACCCCCCCCCCCCCCCCCCCAGGCCACGTTTGTTGACTCATACTCTCCAAAAACACCTCTCCATCCTTCTTCATGTCAAAACACGCAAACACCCACCGTCATGCTGCTTGAAGTCACCCATGGACACGATGAGGTGCATGAAGTGTTATTAGATGTTTGGAGTGTTTGGGACTTCCGATTACAACCCTGCTTGGTATTCATGATCCTGTTGTCTCTGTTCTCTCTTCTTTCTCCCACCATTAGCATTCTGGGCTGCCCTATAGCCAGAAAGCGCCGTCTAGAGGAAGCAGAAGCCGACCAGGAGCAAGAGCAGGACACAGAGCGGCCCGCCTCCAAGAAGAAGTCCCACCCCCTGAAAATGGCCCTGGACGAGGGCTTCAGCGCAGAGAGCGACGCCAGCAGCGAGGCTGACGGCGAGGGAGAGAAGGATGGAGAGACAGCAGGAGAGACCAAGGAGGTGGAGGAGGAGGAGGAGGAGGAGGAAGAAGAGAGGGGGGCAGCTATAGAGGAGGAGACAGAGGAGATGACAAAAGACCTGACACAGGATGGACAGACAAATAGACAGGAGGAGGAGACACAAATGGAGGAAGAAGAGGAGAGGGAAGAAGAAGAAGTATATCAGAAGGAGAACACATTTACTGCAGATGAAGGTGAGCTTTTTCTACTTGAGACCAACCAGCTCATATTAACCACAGTCATCTTTGCTATTCTTCACCGATGAGGAAAATCTACCTCTAAACTCAGCAGCTTTTCAACCAATCCTCTATGTTTTATAAACCAGTGGCGGGCCGTGCATTTTATACCTGGGCCTTCAGTGCTGTCCTGCAACTGAAACACCACCAATAATCTCATTATGCAAGCTACGGTTATTTGTTTGGGGGTGTAACAATACACGTATTCGTATTAAACCATTCGGTACGAGGCTTACGAACCGAACAATACGTTTGAATAATACTAGTGCATTTGGAAAATGCAGAAGCTTAAATTGTGGGAAATATAATGTTTTCGGTGGACTGCGCTCACGTAGGAGACAACGGGCTGTGACCTCTGAACCCGAAACAAAAAAAAAAAAAAAAGACAGCTGAGGCACTGCACTTCTGGGAGGCTACGCTAAACTAGCTTAACAAACAATGCGCATGACGGTATGCTTCGTAATTAACAGACAATGCATATAGTCCAAATCTATATAATTAACCCAATGACAACAACAAACTCACAAGAACCAGTCACATATATTCATATGACAACAAAGCATGACTAATCAATCCAGCAGACCTGCAGCAGAACACGCATTCTGCTACACACTCAAGGGCCATTCAGATATTAGATGTAAAAAAACAAACGCAGTTGACTTACCAAATGCTGATCACTTAAAGAAGATCCTCCTTTCTTTGTTGACAAAGAGTTTAATCCCACGGTTAAATCCCAACTCACAAATCCGTTTCTCCTCCTCCTTCAGCCATTGAGTGTTAAAAAAACAATGCTACACCAAGCAAAATGCAAAAAATGTCATAATTTCTTCCATATCTTTCAATTTGAACTCTTACTACTCCGACTAAGCCTCTGGTGGCTACTTTAAGTTTCGTTTCACAATAGTCACGTGCTCGCCCATTGACCAATCACAGCGCACGCTGCACCTCACCGCAGAGCTGCACCTGAAAACTGAGCTGCAGGTAATGCTGACGTAGTTGTAGGCCAGCTAGCAGGCTCTGACACATCAAAGAATACGCCCAACATGTCAAACTAAAGATCTGATTGGTTGAAGACTATGACAATCAACAATATCGTCCCCATTCACTTAAAGTGCAAAGGGATTCACTTGAGACTCTGCAGGCCTCGGGCCTCTCTTCTTACCTAGAGACACAGAGGTGAGATCTGATTGGATAAAAGCTCTACTTAAAACAAGCTGCACTGGAAGCAGAGCAGCTGAGGAAGACAGTAGCTGTGCAATGAGAAAATAAGATAATGGGAAACATATTTTTATAAATTATAATACATGTAGTGTATTTAAGAAAAAATATTAAATTATAAAATAGCTATAACTTTGTGATTCTGTCTAGGCCAGCAGAGAAGGCCTTGCAGGCCCTGACGGCCCACCACTGATATAAACCATGAAAGATTATTCAGCTATAAAAAATGACAAACTGGTTCCAGCTTTGAACATTTGCTATTTATTCTCCATTCTACAGCACCGTAAATTAATAATCTTTGGGCTTTGGACTGTTAATCGAACAATACAAGATGTATAAACTTACCCCTTTGGGCCTTTGGTGGCAATGAGTGGTGTTTTTTCAACATTTAGAGATTAACTGGATTGATCATAAAAATAATCGAGAGAGTAAAGGGTACTCTAGTGATTAAGTATTGCACTTCTATCTCACACGAGGCATATTGTGTGAATGGTCCAAAATCGAAGCAGCGGGGCCTAAGATGTCCTGAGGCTGGGTCCTACATTTCCCATAATGCAACTCAACAGCATCCCTCTTTAGATCCTCACTGCTTCTGAAATGCCCATCTCTTCCAAACTCCAGTCTTCCAGTTAGTAATGCAGCCCTTCTGTTAAAACATGAACTCTCAAGCCTTAACCAAGATATCCTTGATAACATCACTATGACATCATCAGGGTATGTTTTTTTAATTTTTTAAGGCTCCTCCAGAGACATAACAGTTTTCACAAGCTGAGTGGTGCTCAGAAGTGCTCAATTCCTTTTAGTGCTCCTTTAATCAGTGATAAAATATTATTTGCAGTTCTTTGATGAAGGTTCTTTGATTACAGTTTCCTTTGATTAACAATTAGGATAGAGTTTAATCTCTACCTTTATTGTCTATGATTTAACATAATCTTTTTCATTTGTGAAACCTTTTGTTGGTGGTTGTGTGGCTCTGCTTGAGATTCTCCATCCAGGGCATGAAAGTTATTGAGCCACATCACATGCAATGCAGTGAGCATTTAGGAAGTGTGCAATAACATAGCAAGTGTTTTTTCCCTGATAATGCTACATCGTGAAGAACAAATCTGTGTTTAAATCATCAGGAGGAGAGCTAGTTAATGTCAGCTGTGAGCTATTTTTTAGCGGGTTATCACATGTTTAAATAACCTGCATATATTATTATAAGGTATAATATTACAGGAGGTGAGTTGCCATTCCTCTTATTGACCACTAGGGGACTTTGGGAGTTAATGTCTTTCTGCTTCTACAAGCTGCTTTACATCTCCACACTGTCACAGCAGGTGTTTTTATTTCTCAGTGAATGACTTAGCAGGCAGGGAGGTGATGCCAGTGAAGACATTGCTGACAATAGCTTTAGCTCACTGCGTGACTCACTTTTTCCTGCGTATCACTGCTCTGACCTCTTCATCTGCTTCCACAGAGGAAGAGTGTGTGATCATCGAGCCGGAGTTTGGAGCAGCGCCACCTGCAACCGAGGAGTGCCAGTCTCCCTCTCAGAGCGCAGAGGAGGTGGCCAACTCTCTCCTCCACCTCGGCTGCCTCTCCGACAACAATGCCCCCACCGTGGCCATTCAGCAGCCTGTTGCCGTGGAGACTGAGGAGGATGTCACTGTGGCAGCCGAATGGGGGGAAGAAGTTAAGGACGAACAGGAAGGGGGCATGAATGAGGGGGAAGAGGAGGAGGAAGTGGCACGCGGGGTTCAAGCAACAGAAGAGGCATCTGTTCTGCAGAAGGAGACAGCTGAAGTGGAGGAAGAGGAGTTGGAGGAGGAGGTAGAAGATGAGAAAGGAGAGTGCCCAGACAGGAGCAACAATGTGATCCAAGAGAACCACCAATATCTGACCGAAGATGTTCGCCATGAACAGATCAAAGATGACGAGGAGGAGGAAGAGGAGGAAGAGATAGCAGCGCCAGCACAGCAAAGCCGGGGCACTCCAGTAGAAGAAGAGGAGGAGGAGGAGGAGGAGGAGGAGGAGAAAGATGAAGAGGTGAACCACATTCTGGCCATTTCTGATGTGCCAACCGCCATCCGGAACATCACCAGAACCGCAGCAGCTCAGGGAACACACATCAAGGCTGAGGACTACAAGGCCAGTCCCCTAGAAAACTACAATACCAACAGGGCCACTCCACTTGTTCATAAACCTAGCCCGCTTCAGAACTACAAGGCTAGCCCTCCTTTAAGCTACAGCTCGCACAGAGTCAGTCCACTGGAGGACTACTTCCCCAACCTCAGAGGTGAGAACTATAAGATCCACAAAGCCGTGTCCTCCACCTCTCCCGACATTATCGAAGTGCGATCAGATAGGTCAGAGGAGAGAGACTTTGACGACGTGGATGGGGACGACGAGCGCGATGATGAAGACAGCCTGTCGCAGCGTTCCACGGTGACGGATGAGTCGGAGATGTTTGATATAACCCGAGGGAACCTGGGCCTGCTGGAGCAAGCCATCGCCCTGAAGGCGGAGCAGGTGAAGCCGGCCGGGCCCAGGGAGCTGCTCCGCGCCCCAGATATCCACCACCAGCGATACTTCACCATGGATGACAGGCCAAAGCACCTTGACGTCATCCGCAAGAGCTACTTCAGCAAAGGTAGGGCCGAGCTAAGAGCAGAGCTACAACATGTACACACGAGAGGGGCTTGAGGCAGGAACATTTAGTCCTCTTTATTTATGTCTTCTTTTAAAAGCTAGGTTCGCATTATGTGGTAGTGCGGTACAAGCAGGGTCGTCACCTTGATGGTGAATTCAAGGATGCTTCAACATCTGAGACTTGATACTCACCTGCTGATAGCAGTAGGTCAAACTAAGAAAGAGTAAATTGTAGTTTTTTGCTTGCAATAAAAGCAGAAACCCCTCTTCATTTTGGAAAATGTGCGTATTTTTTTTTTTACCAAGAATTAGACAGGAGGATTGATACCCCTATCGAGTGCGCTAAATAGGAAGCATAAAGAAGCAGGTGGATAAACAGCTACCCTGCCTCTTTCTAAAGGTAAACTGTCTAAAGCTCACTAATGAACATATTGTTTTTTTGTCTCAACTGCTGACTGAAAAAAACAACAACAAGAAAGATTGAAAGCACGTAACTTCTCTTTAAGGGGTATTGTCATTCAAAGCAGTGTTGATCATTGAATGACCTGCATTTGAACATGATTTGTTGTCAATGAGCTAAACTTTTCTAAATCACTGCCTATTCCTTGGAGAGTGAACTTCTTTGCCTAAAGGGCCAGTTCACTTGGTATTCTGTCGTGTAGTAAGGTTTTGTCTCAGGAATGTTTGTGTTATCAGCCACTCAGACTTTTGCAGCCACCCTAATAAAATAGAGGTGAATGTAATTGTGTTTGTGGTGTTAAAATCATTGAAGAAATAGTTTAAAAACTATACAGTGTCATGTGTTTCCAAAACACAACATTGGAAACTTAATAGCTACTGTAACCGGCAGCTGATGTCAATTGTTGACATATCCCATGCCTTTAAAGGACAAGTGTTTAGGATATAAGGGGATATATTAGCAGAAATAGAAACTGTAGTGAGCCAGCTAGCTGTTTCCTCCTCCTCTAGTCCTTATGCTAAGCTAAGCTAATCGTCCTCTGGCCGTAGCTTCATGTTTAGCATGCAGGCATGAGAGGTGTATCAAACTCTCAGCAAGAAAGGGAATAAGCATTTTGTGTTACTCTAAATTATTTTGAAAAGTTTTAAGGTCAGAGTTAATGCACCAGCATAGCGTGGGCTCACATCTCTCCCTGCTTATCATTACATTAGCATGTGATGACCATGTAGCACAGACAGTGTTCACTGTGATGGATTACCTATCTCAGGAAAGTTCATCTTTGTACAATGATAATATGAATAGAGAGCAGTGGTGTATTATAAACTTTAAGAAACAGGGAGTCCTGAAGTTCATTTGTAATCAATAGGCCTGAACACACAAGACCACCTGTCCGTTCCACAGAAGCGATGGGGCCACGTATTTGGTCACACGTAGATGAGCGCACAGAAAACAATGTTCTAAACCAGCACAAGGTGTCGTGTGCTGAACTAAATGTTTTGAGCAGAGCGCACTAATAAACACAGTGTACCAAATAAACAGAGTCACGGATCCTCCCCTCTCCGTAGTGATATGGATGAAGTGGTTCCAGCTGAATAGACTTCCATGAAGAGCGGAGAGGAAGTGCTTGAAGAGAGGGTGAGAAGGGACAACAGCGAGAGAGATGGCAACACGTGTTAGAGAGGAAGAGAGAGGAGAGGAGCGCAGGTTGTTCCACAGTCACTGTTTGTTTACATGCTGAATGTGTTCGGGCCTTGTATTTCACAGTTGGCACGGTGCCCACTTGTCATGCTCCTCGCAATATAGCAGTAGTGTGATTGCTAGTGCTGCCCTCTCCTTGGCCTCAACTCCCTCCCGTGGTGACGTTCCTGTTCTGCTCAACGCTAATTGGGAGATGCATGTCTCGTTAACATTCAATTTGAAGGCCAATAGAGCATCGCACCATCCTCTTGCTCCTTTCTCCTCTCTCCAGTGCCGCTGATTCTGGCTGGCTCACTACAAGTAGCAGCAGGGAGCAGTAGGCATCTTTAATTATGTGTAAATCTTAGAAGCATGATTTGCCCCGGATGGATTTTCAGGTGTTGTTTTGTCCGAGATCCCAACAAGATCCTTGTGGATCAATCATCAAAGCGTACAGGATAAGAAGGTCGACCTTGTTTCGGGTTAACTTTGAAAAAGCTGCAATATTTCTTTAATTGGATAATATTTCATCCTTGGGAGCGTTTACAAAAAAACACACACTCAAATCACATTTAGACGAAGGCACAAAACCCGTCTTGCATATACGTAAGACACAAGGAGCAGATACAGATGGTGTCGCTTTTCTACAGTTGTCTGAAATATGTCTAGATTTCATGCTCAGCCAAGCAGACTGTCTGATGGCATTAAACACTTGCCTTTGTCCTCCTTATTCATCCCACTTTCTCCTCTCCTCTCCTCTCCTCCTCTATCCAGAGAGCAGTAGGCCAGAGAAGAGGGAGATCAAGTGTCCCACCCCGGGGTGTGATGGGACGGGTCACGTGACCGGTCTTTACCCCCACCACCGCAGCTTGTCAGGCTGTCCGCACAAGGACAGGATCCCCCCGGAGAGTGAGTGTTCTTCAGCTGCTTAGCAGATGAAAATAAGCACAGAGGAAAGACAAGTGACAAGAAAGGGCGGCGTGACGGTGACAGAAGCACACTACCTCTCCTCACTGTGCAGTTAGACATCGATTACTGTAATACCAGTTTAATCACGGTTTATGAGTTTTTTCTGCTAAATATCTCACTTTGAGGCTTTTGATATATCCGAGCTATTCGGTCTTCACCATTGTACATACTGCTGCTAGAGGACTCAGACAACCATTTCAAAGTTGACAGGTAAAAAAGGTTAACAGTCTATCAAAATTTAAATGACATGTTTGGATTTGGTTCACTGGCTTGGTTCTCTAAAGCTATGCAGATAGGAATCTGCAGTGGTACGGTGTTTTTTCCACATCTCCCCAGACATTAATGTCAGAGGCCACCTTCCTGTAGCCATGACTACAGGTCCATTTAATGCCCAGTTCCCTGCTATTCTCTGATTAAGGTTCACTTCCTATTCCTGCTGGTATTTTTACTTAGGGACCGTCCTAACCCTATTAGGAGGGGCAGGGGAGGTCTTATTGCTGATGAGGATAAACATATTTTTTTGGAAGAGCAGGAAATGGTCTTAATGTTTTTCTCATTCCAGATTTATATTTTTATTTAATTTTTTTTTTTTTTTTACAGTGGAGCGGTTCACTCGTTCATTAGAACTAATTACTGCTTTTGGGCAGCTTTTTATTCAAAAACATAGACAGGAGCTGGAACATTGAACATTTTGTTATGTTTGCCATCGCCAAATAATAAGATTCAACCCTTCACCCCGACCAAATTATTTACATACAGTCCCTTACATGAAAAGGTGTTTTAAATAGTTCAGATTAAGTTCTGGATTTTCTTTGACCCTGTGTGTGTGTGTGTGTGTGTGTGTGTGTGTGTGTGTGTGTGTGTGTGTGTGTGTACGTTGTCTTCTCCTCAGTTCTGGCCATGCATGAGAATGTGCTGAAGTGTCCAACCCCTGGCTGTACTGGTCAGGGCCATGTTAACAGCAACCGTAACACACACCGCAGGTATTCATGCATACATTACAGTATCTGTTCAGATCTGTATTTGTGGTTAAGTGTGTCTCTGCATTTCCCTTTTGTGTATTTGCAAGCTCATATATTCATATATGCAGGGATGTGTCAGTCCACATCAATGTGATGCAGATTTACATGGTCAGCAACATCTTTTGTCTCCTCCTCCAGTCTTTCTGGATGCCCCATTGCTGCTGCAGAAAAGCTGTCCAAGGGCCATGATAAGCAGCATCTCTCTCAGCCGGGCAGCGAGCACCTCAAAGGAAGTCCTAACGACAGAGTGTTAAGGTGGGCCATCAGAAAAGTATCCTATTATATACTTCCGGTCTTTTAAATAGTTATTTTTACAGTCCTGTCCTGTTACATTAGATAAGTATGGAGCCCCAATGCTGAAAAAAGGTTGTCAGACGAGTCAAAAACAGAATACATGAATTAATAAACTGTTAATTAGATAATTAAAATGGAGTGTTAACAGAAATATAACGCTTTATACTTGCCCTTTAACCATACCTCCAATCAGTGGATAAAAAGAAAAAGGCTTTTAAAAATGTCCTTTACCTCAGCTGTACCTCCTTCTGTTCAGGCCACATTGAAACTTTGATTGGTACCACAGGTACAATAGAAGGTATTTCTTTTTAAGGACACTCTCTTCTCTTTAGCAGGAACCACAATGGAAACATGTCTTGGACTACATTGTGTTGTCCTTCAACCCTGTCGCCTACAAAATGATGTTCAACTACACTGCATTCTTAAACACGTTTCCTCCCAGATTACGGACGCAGTTTTTAACACATGGTTAACTTTGTAAATTTCAACAAAACTAAAACGCAACTAAACTACTTGGCTAGGTTTAGTAAAAACATCAGGAATTGGCGTAAGATAAGAACGTTTGTTATGTTATTTAACTTAAGGACGTAAACTAAAATAAGTCAACGTTGATGTTTAGTTTCACACAAACAGAGGTTTCCTGGGTTAAAGTCATGTGTTGACCCAGACGTCCACCCCAACCTCCTCCCTATGTGGACGTCTGCAGATAACCAACGTGTTTATGATACGTCAAAAACAAACTACGCTTGAAAACACGCCTTCCTGGAAACGTAATTAACAATGCAATTTAGTTGTTTGGGACGACATATGGGAGACCAGGCTGTGTCATTGAAATTTTTTTTTAGATGTGTATGATTTACCTCCAATCTCATTATATCAAATAAACTAAGCACTTCTTAACAGTCATTTGTTGGATTTGAGGCTTCGTAGATAAGTTAGTGATGACAAAAAATATATGCATCCATACCGCATCTGAGCATAATGAACCTTTCACTTACATAAAACCTGTCTCCTCCAATCCAAGCCCTGCACCGTTGAGTCCGTCTAAAGGTTAGCTCCTTCACTACTGAGCCACAAGGAAACCACATGAGACAATCCTGACCTTGGGTAGTGGGCCCCTCACGACGACAGGTAAAGCTGGCCTGTGAATGGCTCGATATAGCGAGGAAGTCTTGAAGCATTCAGTGTGAATCATCACCTCAGACACTGAGATCTCTTTATCCCCATTCATCTCCCCAGCTGGTCAGGATCACGGCCTGAAGAATGATAATTAACACCAACCAGACACTGGTACTATGCTAAGTCTATGCTCTTCCTCATTGGTATTTTAATTAATAATGCAGCCGATAAGCTAATTATGCAAGTTACAGGGGCATTGCGAGGCGGATAGGAAAAATAATTGCTTTCCTTGAGGAAAACCTCATCAGTGGTCGGACAAAGCATAGAGGATTAAAACATAATAAGACTTTCTTTGTTTTTCCTCCTCAGATTGTTATTAAACTGAGCTTGGTTGTCTGTTATATATGGGGCTGAAGAACTCCCCATGCGATCCATGTTCTAATGGAATCCATGTTGAATAAATAAAAAGAAAAAAAATCCCCTGTGATCAGTGGTAGAAAGTTTTTACAGTCATGAAAATCGTCTTTTGGACTGCCTCAGATGTGAGCATGTATCATTGGTGTACCACTGTGAGAAGGCCACCCTGACAGCAGTGTGACTACAGGCCCGGTCATGTACTGGAGTTTATTAATGGCCATATGTTTGGACACACACTGAGATGTGGGCATCAGTGATACAGGATGCAGAGGAGGAAAAAAAGGGGCTGGGCCAGAGGGGCTGGAGGGGGTAGAGCCTCCCTCTGTCGCCACTCCTCCTCTTTTCATCCCCCCTCTCCTCTCCTCCTCCTCCTCCTCCTCCTCCTCCTCCTCGCTACTGTCTCCCTCCCCCCGCCCTTCTGCCTATCCCCGGCTATCAGTGGATTTACGCCAACAGGTCTGACAAAAGCCCAGGCTCTCCAGGAAAACGAGATGGCTTAAAGCTCATAAATTCTATGCTGTACAACATGCAAACGTGCCCTCTGCTGATAACAGAGCTTTTAATCCTGCTGCTCTCCTGCTAAGTACACCGTTGCCCCTATCTTTACTCTCTCAATGTCTCTCTACCTCCCTCTCTCCTCCTCCTATTCTTTTTTCTCCTTCTTTTATTTGTTTTGTGTCAATTGTGTGACTTTTTATGGCGTCGATCCTCTTTTATATCCCATCTCTCCTTATCTATTCTATTCCACTTTCTACTTTATTTCGTATAAATCCCCCTCCTTTTTCCCTCTTCCCCCCCCCCCCTCCCCTCCCCAAACCAGCCCTACCCTGACATCCTCTCGCTCTCCCTTTCCTCCTCGCAGGCCCATGTGCTTTGTGAAGCAGCTGGAGGTGCCTCAGTACGGCAGCTACAGGCCCAACATGGGGCCCGCCACGCCTCGCGCCAACCTGGCCAAGGAGCTGGAGAAATACTCCAAGGTGTCCTTCGATTATGCAAGCTTCGACGCTCAGGTGTTCGGGAAGCGCATGCTTGCTCCAAAGATGCCCACCAGCGAAACGTCGCCCAAAGCCTTCAAAAGTAAGAGAGGACCGCTGGTTGTTTTTTATATGAGTGACAGAGGCAGCTGCTTCCAGTCCTTATGCTAAGCTAAGCTAATCAGCTGCTAGCTCTAGCTTCATAGCGTACAGACATGAGTGTGGTCAATTTGTCTTTTATCTAATATCATCAGTTTGAATTACTTTACCACACCAAGCGAATAATGTGCAGTATAGCTTTTTTTGACTATTTGTCTGTTATATCCTACTTATATGATCACCTGATCTAAAGTTTACTTCTCGTCCTCCTACAGCTAAGCCCTCATTCCCCAAGTCCCCGTCACCGAGCCTCAGTCTCCATGGTTACGGGAAGAGCTCCTCCTTGGCTTACGACTACTCCCATGATGCCGAGGCCGCTCACATGGCTGCCACTGCCATCCTGAACCTGTCTACGCGCTGTTGGGAGAAACCTGAGAACCTCAGCACCAAACCACAAAATAAGGTAAACAGATGACCATCATCCATAAATGTCCATGTTTGTTTCATGTTAATTAACACTTATTAAGAACTATGATTAAAGACAACACTCTGGGAAATATGTCATTCATCGCCCTGTTTGTCAGAGATCAAAAATAACTGTTGATCGCTGATTTCATAGTTATAAAGTGTTACCATCTTCTCTTCTCTGGCAGTGGGTGTGCCTCTCCTCTTCCTCTCCCATCCTCCTCCTCTCTCCTACTCCTCTCTTTTCTCCTCTTCCTCTCCCTTTCCTCATCTCTCATCTCCTCTACTCTTTCCTCCTCATCGCTCCCCTCCTCTCTCTCCCCATCCTCTCCCCTCTCCTGTCTTTTGCTCATTTATTCTCTCCCCATCAACTCTGCATGAATATATCATCAGGAGGCATTGGCTTACAGGATGGTGTTGAGATGCAGTTGCATCACCTCTCCCGTCCTCTTGCATCCTTGCATCCTTTCATCCCTCCATCCCACACACTTTTCATGTTGTTATTGAATTTGGCTGACTGCCAGTTCCCTGGATTACTTTGCCACCAGGTAGCCTTTTTTCATTATCTGCCGGACGGATCTTCCACTCTCTTTCTCCACCCCCGACACTCTTTCTTTCATTTTCTTTTCACATCCTTTTTTACTCTCTTTTATCTCCCTCTCTTCCTCTCTGCGTTTCTCTCTCTGGTCTCCATCTGTACCGCTCTATCTCTCACTCTTCCTCTCCCCTCTCTGTGCACAGGAGGTGTAATTGGAGCACCACTTCCCCCATATTGTGATTTTTAAAAGCCTTTTTGCCTCACAGAGGAGAGAAAGTGACTGCTTCATCATTTTTTGCTTTCCTGACATGGTGTTAGAAGATAAAAAGTGAAGATTAATGTCTCTGGCAGCACAGCAGAGCAAGGTGTTGTTCAGCAAGGCACCGATCCAGAAGCAGGCCTTAACTGCGCAGTATTACAGCGCCGATCAACCAGGGACTGATCTGGAATCAGAGTCAGAGCCAGTTGAAATCCAATATTGAAACATTGGAACACTGAGCTTATCAACCAGGGACATTTCTGGGAACTGTTCCCGTTTTCTCTCTTCTTCTAACCCTTTGATTTTTCTGGCCCTTGACCAGCTCTTATGAGCGCCATTTTAGATGAATACTGAAAACACGGCTCATCTCACCCCTCTGCTTCTGTTCACCTGCCAGCACTATAATAGAGCACGGAGAGAGGAGCAGTGGTGTTGGTGCTGTTGGCAAAGTATTTCCAGAGTGCATTAGATATCATTACTAGCATGCTTAAGCGATGAATGTGGTGTTCTGAACTCCAACATGTAGCGCTCTGAAAACTACTGTGTGGCTGGATAAATACTTGTTTGCTATAAGCTTGAGGGCGGAGGGGCGGAAACAGGAAAAAATCAATCATTTCACCAAATGAAAGTTTAGTTCAGTCTGAATCTCCTCAATGCAACTGCGGATTATATGAAGTTGTGATTCAGGAAAATGTAGGTATGTTAATGTATGTGTCGCTGTAACCGAATCTGCTCAAGAGGGTAATTAATTTAATCACAATCATCAACACGCAGGACTGCTTCTCACACTGAAGTGCACCAGAGGAGACTGCATTAGTCATTTACATTTCTGAAGACGTAATTAGTGTATTAGCTATGTTAATCTTTCCCTTTTCTCCCAGACACCAACTATGTACGGAGTCCCAAAGTTTCCAGTGTTAAATACAAGAAAGTAAATAGAATGTACAGACGCATGGGCAGCAACCTTCTCCTAAATGTCTTGTATTTTCTATTATTTTCTGTTAAGAGAAAAAATAGAAGAGAACAGAAGAGAAGTCAATTCCAGATGCATCAAACACTCTTAACCAAACCAGCTCTCACCCTTCTGAATGATGAATCTCACTTTATCATACATTGAAAGCATGTGGCCGATTGTTTATTATTAGCATAGTTAACATCCCTTAAACACTATATAAGGGCGGGTGGTGTGCCATGTGCAAATACTCTAGCACATGGCCAACAGTTACAGCGATGCCACCAAAAAAGTCTGTAAGAAGAAGAACTTCAGCATTAGTGAAACAGAGGTTCTGTTAAATAGAGTTAGTAAACATGTGACTTTCTAGAGTGTCAGTACTGGTGTTGGAGGAAAATCCAAAAGCATCAAAGAACAGAATGTGAGCCATTCAGAAGATGAACACACCAACATCATCCAAGGGTTTTATAGGCTTAATTATGCAATCATTATCAATACTGTTAAACGTATCTAAATTTGATTATATGATATTTATGCGTTTTTTATCTTAAACTTGTTTCCTTGTGTTAAACAAACAATTAGTAGACTGTGATTACACAATGTTGTTTTGCTATTTTGGTGAGAGTGCTCTTGACCACTAAAATATTCTCTTACTTAAGAGAAGAGCAAAGACAAGAGAGCATTGGTGAATCCCAGAAAGCAAATCGATACAAATGTGAGTAATAGTGTGAGTTTTCATATTTTGCGAATGTTTCTCTCTCTCTGTTCATGTGGTTATTTATTTCATAGTGTCTTATTTATTGGTTTAATGTTGAACACTTGGGGACTCCATTACTGAAGAGGTTGCGATATGGCCTCTCTCTTCTTTAGGAATTGGCCATTGAGGTGGATGAGAACGGCACCCTGGACCTGAGTATGAAGAAGCCCATCAAACGAGAGGGCAGCCTGTCCGGCACCAGCCCCGGGGTTAGGTCCCCAGACCCCTCCTCTTCCTCTTCCTCACTCCATCATGGTGGAAGCAGCGGGATGACATCGCCAAACCTACACACCTACAAGCAGGAGGAGTGGGAGGGCCCCCTGGATTACACCAAACCCAACCGCCAAAGGGAGGAGGAAATGGACGAGGTCAGTACAATCAGACTGAGCTAAAGTACAAGCTCCAAACACGCAGTGTTTTCCTGTGATAGCAGTCGCAGAGGAAGTATTGCAACACAAATAACAACAGACAAAATCCCCCAAAGCTTTTTGACTAAGAAACTCGTCCTTGTTTACATCACTTTGTCTTTCTCTAATCCCTTTGCCTTTTTTCCTTTTCCTCCTTCTATTATTCATTTATTTTCAGGGAAATCACAGAGTTACAGTACAGTTAAAACATAGCATTGTGTAACAGAGGTGGTGTGTCAGGTGCATTGCACCATCCTGACTTTGGCATATGCTAATTTGTACTCCTTTGAACTTTTTCAAAAGAAATATAAAGGGCTTTGAGTGTAAATGTTTTATGAGGACACTGAATTTGGAAACGTCATTTGTCTACAAAAAATAGAAAAGGGTTAGGAGACTTGTGTGCACATGGTGGTTTGCATAGTTTATTTGCTTGTATACAAATGTGTAAAGAAAGCCAACACTCAAATGGTCTTAAAACGTGAATACAATCCACACAACAACACATAAGTACAATTTAAATAATAAAAGGGTCACTGAGGAATTACAAGCATCTTTTTGGACTCGTTCTTCAGATGGAGCACACGGGCCAGTCGTTTGTGTCGTCTGACGCGGAGGACTGTGACATGATGCAGGACTGTCTGGAGGAGAGGAAGTACCCAGGAGAGGTCACGACTCCGAGCTTCAAGGTCAAATTCCAGCCCAAGGATAGCAAGAAAGAACTGCTCTCGTAAGTTACTCTTTTAGGCTGCTGTGCTTTGAGCTAAATGCTAACGTGTGAACTACAACACTGTTACAAGCCCCCTTAAGAATAATGGCTGCAATTTTCTTCTAAAACATATATATATTGAATATCAATATAATATGTACACAAGCTAGTTAGCCAGTGCTACTGCATGCTAATATTGTTAGCTAAAACGTAATTATCGTAACATAAAGTTAGCTGGTCAGATAATATTACATTTCTACCGTTGGTTAGTTTTTATGTTGTTCTGTTAGATGATGGGGTTTATACTTTCTCAGATATCTAACATTAGCATTGATGCCCCCTATTGTTACACTTTCACATATTACAAAAAAGGATTTTGTTGCTTTTTGTTCAAACTAATGGATCACCCTCAATATGATTCTCATATTAGCAGTTAACAAAACTTTTCTATGTGTATCATAAAAAAGACAGAGGCTTGTTTTGTACTGTCACAATATTACATCACATGACTTACTCCTCCCACCAGTAAAATGATTTTGACGATATTCAAAGATTAGCAATGCCTCAACCATCGAAGGAAAGAGCTGAAATACAAAATTGGTGTTATCTAGTCGTCAGCAGGGGAATAATCAGAAGCACAAACGCCAAGCGATCATCAAAGTCAGTTGAATTCATCCTATGGGGACCATGAATCTCTCCACACTGTTTCATGACAATCCATCTAGTAGTCCAAAGTGGTGGGCCATCCATTCAGCCACACTGCTAGTGTGTCTAAAAACAGTCCCCCTGTCCTTTCTAACAGCTCTCTCTGTGTATCTCGCCCTCTCCAGGTGCCCTACACCTGGTTGTGACGGCAGTGGTCACATCACTGGAAACTATGCGTCCCATCGCAGGTATGCACCATTGCTGACTCTGTGGGTGAAACAGTATGCTAGTGCTCTCTATATGAAGTCTTCTATGAAATGTGAGCTCTGCTGAGACTCTTCTGCCACCCACTCAGCACCTGAGCCCAAAGCGGGCGCACCACCACTAATTCAAATATTTTATTTGATACCGACATGCCAGAGGCAATAATGTAGCGTGAGCCCGGCAAGCAAAGACGGTCATTGACTTTGATATGCATCAGTAATTTACTTCTTGCCGTCTGTCCTCTTCCTCCTAAATGACCTTGGTATGCCTTGCATTCTTGATTTCTCTTCGCTCACTTCTTTCTCCTCTCTCCTTTCAATCCCCTCACACTCGCTTTCCTCGTCCCCCTTCTTTTCGTCCTTCTCTCCTCCTGCCTGTCCTTCTCTTTCTCCTTCCTCTCAGTCTGTCTGGGTGTCCTCTCGCTGATAAGAGCCTTCGGTCCCTCATGGCGGCCCACACCCCTGAACTCAAGTATGTCTGCTCTACACCTCCACTGCCTTTTCACTACCACTTCAATGCACTACTACAGACGCCATCCAACGCCACAATGCTTCATTCTGCTGACGTTAACTCATCTTTTGTTGCCTGCTGCTGCTGCTGCCTCTGCTGCTGCTGCTGCATCTGTCATGGCACTTTTTTTCTGGCTGTGACTATGCTTTCTTTCACTTCAATCAGTTCATGTAAATGGCAAATGAATCAGTAATTCTGTAGCATACATAGCTCTTTACTAGAGAGTAGGCTTTTCACAGCCCACTATACATACAAGAAGTGTTTAAATGGAAAAGAGTGAATTTAAAACAGACATTGCTCACAAGAGCGAATAACAAAACGGGCAAAAATGAATAAGCAGAACATTCCTCTCATCTGCATAATCCCATTTCCACTCTCAATCATCTACAGTGTTGTTTGTTGTTCTGCTAACCTTGAATTAAATGTTAAACCTCACTCTGCCCTCTCCTAGATGCCCCACTCCAGGATGTGACGGCTCAGGTCACATCACAGGAAACTACACCTCCCATAGAAGGTAACAACCAAAATACACAAATGCACACACAAAAACGCATACACACACATGGACACACACACAGTCAGCCAGAGAGGCCTAGTGACAGTCCATGGTAGAATTAGACAGGGATCACATACTCACACATTTCCACACCTATCCATTATCCTATTTCCGGCCATATTGGGCGTTTTTGAGTTGATTTGGTTTGTGATTTGGTTGAACAACCTCTGTAAAATTATTCTTCCTTATAATGTGCTCTCCCTTTAACAAGCAATCACTTCACCAGACCTTTTTTCAACCCTATGTTATCAACTCCATACTTTCTGTTTTCAGTATCTCTGGGTGCCCGCGTGCCAAGAAAAGTGGAATTAAAACTCCTACCAAGGACAACCAGGAGGACTCCGAGCTTTTAAAGTTCGTACTGCTCAGAAAGCCATAATGTCTGCTTTTAGCGAGACTGACGGTAAAAGTAAAATGCAATAAAAAAGGAAAAGACAGAGAGAGAGGAAAGTCACTGTGAATCATATGCAGAGGTAGTGACCTGCCCCCAAAATTGAATCAGGCCCTTACTGATGGGAAAATACACTTACTGCAGATACTGACTCTGAATGTAGTTCATGCTAGAGTATCGTAGAGGAGATTGTCAATACATAAGAAATACATCGGCTTCATATTGCATTTGCACACAAAACAGTTAATGTAACAGCATGTTGATAACAGCATGTGCTGAACCTTAATAGCTCTTGCATCAATGCTATTATTCAATGTTTCAACCCAGATGTAAGAAAACGAATTTGGCCCAGTAGAGAAAGTATATAACGTAAATCTTTATTGCAATATTCTCAACTTTCTCTACAGTTTATATGATTGGATTCTTCTTATCTAACCTTTGTGCCTTCTCACTCTCTTTCTTTTTTTCTTTCCTTGCTTCATCACTTCTTCTCCCTCTCCTCGTTTTTGTTTTGTTTTCTTGTTTCCCTCCTGTCCTCTGCTCCCTGCAGATGCCCGGTGCCTGGCTGCGACAGTTTAGGTCACATCAGTGGGAAGTACGCCACGCACCGTAGCGCCTACGGCTGTCCGCTGGCGGCCCGCAGACAGAAGGAGGGTCTACTGAACGGCACCCCCTTCAACTGGAAGGCCTTCAAGACAGAGGGGCCTACTTGTCCATCCCCAGGTTGTGACGGCTCCGGACACGCTAACGGAAGCTTCCTCACACACCGCAGGTAAGCTTTTAACCAACTATAATGTCTGCTTTTTGGTGTCCACATGAGAAGGTAGTAGAGTGAATTCAGACCAGGTTTGATGCTAATATAGCTTTAAACACAATATTTAAAGTTGTTGCTGCCAAGAGTAAGATGAGAATATGGATACCTCTCTCATGTCTTTAAGTATGGCTTCACTTAAAGGCTTGCAGCACAGAAAACCGCTGAGTATTCCAGCACCTTGAAAGCTCACTAAGTTTCTCGTTGTGATGAAACTCCAGGAAGTCAATACAGTCCAAGAACATCTTACTCACTGAGCTGAGGTTTCGTTCAGTATTTGTTTGTTTTTTTAACTATGGAGTCTTAGCTAGCTGATTTACATCTTTATGCTAAGCTAAGCTAACCTCCTGCTGGTTCTAACTACAACATTAATCAGAATCAGAACTGTTTATTGCCATGGTATGTTGAACATACAAGGAATTTGACATGATGGGTGGTGCATAACATTTAACAATCAACAACAATCAACACAATGCAAAGTAGAAACATTAAAATGTACAGAAAGATATAAAATAAAGTACAATATAAAATAAATTGAAATATAAAATAAAGTGCACAAACGAACAGATAACAGGACTATAAACAATGAACAGATAACAGGACTATAAACAAGTGAGATGTAAGTGTAGTATCTACGAATATAAGAGCGCTAAGTATTTTTCCCAAAATATTGAACTATTTCTTTAAGTCACTAAAAAACAACGTTCTTACAGCTTCCTGTTTCCTTTATTTGACACATTCCTGGTTGAATGCTGGGTTTGAACATATATTTCTCTTACTTACAACCTGATGGCTTCCCCTTTTACCACAAGGGACAAATGAAGCGTATTATTCAGACCATTAGGGGAGAAGCAAGAAATATATTGAAGGATATTATGTGTAATCTCAGTCCACAGCTCCTCTACTAACATTAAGGGGTCTCTGCCTCTCTTTGCTGCTACCAACACAACCACTACACTTTAAGAATGGGTGATGATGTCCCTGTCATGCAAATTAGGGTATGATGTCATCTGATGACTTTTATCAACTTTTGGAGCTAGTGCTAGCTACTTTTATTGGAAAATAGTTGGTAACACTGCATTTTGTTTTCCACAGTTATGTCAGTCGTTCCACCGCCCACCATTTCCTCTACTGAGGATAATGACTGCAAAGAACTTACACTGATACTCTTTGGGAACGGGGAATAGCTACCTATTCTCCTCCTGTTTTGGTAGTGCCGTAAATGGATCATTGATTTTCTGGTACCTGGTGGCAGGCAGAGCTGCTTAGTGGAAGCGAGGCTTATGGGGAACCAATTTAAACACTGCCATTATTCAATAACCATTACATTACTTCATAATGAAAAGTTAAAGCAAAAACAACATGTTTCATTTGATTATGACATTATTGACACATGGTCCACTGGGAGCTACAGTGTCCCATGTGTTTAGATGTGATGTGAGATGTGATAGCTCAGACCACAGTGATTCATAGTGACCCCCCCCCCCCCCCCCCGTGTCACTTGTCTCCAGCCTCTCAGGATGCCCCAGAGCCTTGTTCGCTAAGAAGAAGGCTAAGTTCCCCACAGAGGACTACCTGAGCACCAAGTTCAGAGCCAGTGATGGTAAGTTGTGGTGAAAAAATTAATCTATGAACGATTTGTAAGCGGGTCTGTGTGTATCTGTGTGTGTAAAAGCAATCCCCCTTGTTTTCTGGAGCTTTTGACTTAACAGTGAATGCAGGTGTTTTGACAAAAAACTAAAAAATGATGTCAATAGTAAAAGTAGAAATGTGTCTTACATGTGACCAGTCCATACTGGAACAAATCTTTTAGTTACAGAGGAGAATGTTCATTCAGCTATGGAGTCTAGTCCAGACTCATGGAGGGTTAGGAAACTCACAATATCATTTTAACTAAAGTGATACACTCTTTATCTCAAAAATGATGGAAGCCCATTTCCACCACTGTGATGAACAAATAAAGATCCTGTAAGTCATTATAATGACAAACTTTCTCAAAATAATCTCATGAGATATTAAGTCATAATTATGAGATACTAAGTCATATTAATATCTCAGAATTATGACTTTTTACGAGGTTTCTCATTATAATGACTTACAGGATCTTTATTTTTTCATCACAGTGGCGAGAATTGGGTTTCAATAGCAAAGATGGATCTAAAAAGTAAAATGCAGAGGGCAGCAGAAAGCTATACAGACCAGACTCTATTCTGTTCTATTCTAATGTATCTGGCTTCTCTTTTAGTTTTGGACAACGATGAGGACATCAAGCAGCTCAACAAAGAGATCAACGACCTCAATGAATCTAACAATGAAATGGAGGCTGACATGGTCAACCTGCAGACTCAGGTGTGTTTTTTGTTTTTTTTCAATTTAACCTGTAAATCACTGAACATGGGATGAGTTCTTACTGGACATGCTCATGTGTTTAGCAGAATTTAGAGTCATATTTGAGACTTAAAGGGATAGTTTGGATGTTTAGAAGTGTGGTTGTGTGATTGTGATGGATATCTATATCAAAGACATGGTACATTATATTTAGAATATTTGCATTGCTTTACCTTGCTGTCAGACCGCCCTTTCTGATTGGGAACTGAATCTCTCTTTAAAGTCACATGACTCATTGACAAAAACAGTCATTTTACTTTACATAACACAGGAGTTGCTGGTCTACCACTGTGTGACTTTGGTGAATCTTAACTAACCCATTAAAACACCAAAGTCACACAATAACACAGAGAAAGAAACTAACTGATCATGGCAGCGGTAGACCAGCAACTCCTGCGTTATGCGAGGTCAAATAACTGTTTTTGAAAAGGAGTCTGGTGGCTTTGAAGAGAGCATAGACACAATAGCTTCAGTTCCCCATCAGAAAGGCTGTCTGACAGTAAGGTATAGCAGTGGAAATATTCTATAACTACACTTAAAGTGATACCGATTATTTTAGGTGTCTAAAATACGTTTAGCTGCTGCCCCCGTTTACAGCAGTACATTGTTTCCATGCTGGTTCTCATGTCTGTTTAAAACTCCATCTACTGTTGTAATACACTGATTGTGGAAAAGAATCTCATACAACCACACTTCAAAACATCACAACTATCCCTTTAAACTACTTAATTCACTTGAGCCTGTTAACCTTAACATTGGTTTTGTTCCTGAAAGATCACAGATGGAAAAGTTATTCAGTCCAGTGATGAAGCCTTTGAAAGAAGAAATAACAACATATCTCTCACTGATGAAAAGCTGAATTCATAAGGAATAGAACACAGCCTTGCTTGATTTCATAAACTCAAGGTTTTTGGTGCTACAACCTTACTTGATCTGTAGCTTATGTTGGCTAATGTTGGCAAACGTAAGGTAACATTATTTACTCGTTTGTGCTACTGTTAAACTGAAACTTTAGCATTGACCATTATCTTGTAATCATCACTTATGGCAAGAGTGGCTGTTATTTGGCATGTTTACATGCTTTAATGTTCAAAAAACGCATAATTTGTCTGAATAGACCTGTTTTCAGTCTCTGTCTGAAACGCTCTGTTTCCCAAAAAAGCCCAGTCTGCTCTGGTTGGCTTGTGAGAAAACTATGAGGCACCTTTACAAACGTAGTTCTTAAGTCGTGGGCAGTAAATTCTAATGAGCCTCCATGTGACAGAAGAAGGGGAACCCCATCTGAATGGCTGGTTGAATCACATGTTTTCTGATCCAGACAGCCCAAAGATCTGACAGGTTTGTCTTATTTTACAGTTTGTGGCTATGTAGACACTCCAGATGTATGTGCATAAGCACTGAAACAATGACTTTTCAGGATATGTCCCCTTTAAAAGACAAGGCAGGTGACATATTCGAATGTATAATTTGCAGAATGTGACTGCATCCTCAATAGGATTTTAAATAATCATATCCTAGTCTGCCCAGAATATTTAAATCTGTAAAACCGGCTCACAGATATATCGTAATTTTTAAAACATTGATTTCCTTATATGGCTGGGACTACATCCAGCGGCGGATTAATCCACATTTAATACTCTAGTGAGTATTTCAAGCTTCAAGCTGGTGTCTTGAGTCAAAATAAACCAGAGTGGGACATGAGAGTCAGTGCAACAAGAGCTCTATGACACAAAGGAAGAAGATATATCAGGCCTTGATACACACACAAATGATCAGTTATTGTTGGTTTGGGGCTTACTCTTTAAATTTCTTCAGATACTAGTTAATAGACAAATCAACCGTATGCCTAAAGTGGTACCAATGTAGAACTCCTGCTGCTGTGTGTTGCAGATCTCCTCCATGGAGATGAACCTGAAGAGCATTGAGCACGAGAACAAGATGATTGAGGAGCAGAACGAGGCTCTGTTCATGGAGCTGTCCGGCCTCAGCCGCGCCCTGATCCGCAGCCTGGCTAATATCAGCCTGCCACACATGGTGAGTTGTTGTCCGCACACGCACACACACACTGGGCTGGACCCCTCACACACTCCTCTTCGATTGATTGAATGTATAAGTTTGGAGTTGAACCTCGTGCGGTGACCGGCACACAGTCGTTGGTTTCCCTGCTCTTCTCAGTTGCAATTGGTTGTTGTTTGTACCACAGCAGGAGCCAATCACCGAGCAGAACTTCGACAGCTATGTGAGTACCCTGACCCACATGTACACCAACAAGGACTGCTTCCAGAGCCCCGAGAACAAAGCTCTGCTGGAGAGCATCAACAAAGCTGTGAAAGGCATCAAAGTCTGAGGCTCGACGCGCTCACACAGAATGCAGACTGTCCTGAAGAGCCGGAGCGTGACGGAGGGGAGGTGGATGTTGAAATACTCTACGATATATTGAAATATGATTCAAAAACAAAAAGGGAATTCAGGTTATTTAAATAAACGGCAACTTCAAAAACAAAAAATCAACCCAGGGAGCACTCTGTTAGAGGAAAAGTGACGCGGACCAAAATCCACACCATGCTGCTGCTGGGATTAGGAGGAGGAACCGGATCCTTCAGTCAGACCGGATGGAAGAGAAGAATACTGCTACTAGAAACTGTATGTGGGGGGTTTAATATGCTGTATGTTTACCTGTTGTCTCTTTTGTGTCCTTAACTGTTTTTGGATGAGCGGTTGATCAGTTTTTCACGCTTCACACCAACTGGAACACGGAGGATAGTGAACACAGGATTGTTTAAAGGAGCTCAGAGACATGAAGAGGACAAAGAGGAGTTGGATGTGCTGCCCTATAGCATACACTGTGGCCAGTGTGTGTGTGTGTGTGTGTGCGTGTGTGTGTGTGTGTGTGTGTGTGTGTCTGTGTGTGTCTGTGTGTGCATGCTCACCAACTCCAGGAGCTCTTTGATTCATGACCACACACACCCCAGCAATATGAAGCATGCACTACACTGGATTTGTGTTTGCTTTGTGGTATTACTGCGGCAAAGGTGTCAACAGTGCAATGTTGACTCGACATGGGCGAGGGGTAAAGTCTTAAGATAGACCCAGGAACAGTGCAGGTTGTTTATTTTCATGGGACAGCTGATATGATGATTTTAAAAAGCAGCAGATAAATCCGTTTATTCCTTTTTTTTATTTTTTTACCTGAAATGATAGAAATAGTGTGCACACGGCTCAAATTCAGTTAGTCATATCAATAGTATTTATCAACATAGGAATTGCACTTCATTTTAATGAATAGTTTTGTGGTACAATAATTAATGTTATATATGAATTATTTAAACTTGTGAAGTCTTAAATTGTAACTTATTGCCATTTATGTTATTGAGGTTTATTTATTTGAAGTAATTTATTTATTAACTTTGTTTTGTAATACACACACAGCATCCTTACTGATTATCATGGTCAAAGCAAGTTGCAGATGTCTTACGTCAATATTTTAAGAATCTATATAGATAACTGACGAGGCATATTTTGTTTTGAGTACTTTCTAAAAGCCTTTTTAAGTGCAGATGTTTTATAACTGACAAGATCTTTTGATAATTTTACACAAATCTTTTGGTGTTCTTGTTTTTCTCCGTTTCGTTTGTGTTCTTTCTGTTACTGCTACATTCAGAAACCCACTGCTGAGGGGGAAAAAGAAAGTATGTATTTATTATTTATTGAATATGAAAGAAATTGACTGATATGGCTGTATATTTATTTTGTTATTTATTTGCGTGATGTGACGGTTGAGTCCAATTAGTCTTAAAGATCCACTGCTAATATTTAAATAAAGAAAACGGCATCAATACAAACACTGTTTGATTACTTAGGCTTATATACTTAGACAAACCAGCAGCTGATTGTAAAGACAAAAAGAGCCCCAACATCTGTGTGTTTGCTTTTGTCAGGTAAAAGAAAACCAGGAAAAGTTACTTTAAAAAAAAAAAAATGTTAAGTTCAAAAACGTTACCTCTCCGAAGCGCTTTGTAGCGGCCAGCACTGGCTCACCCCAAACCTCTGTAATGTACCAGAGATGCTTAAGTTCTGCTTTGGATTCTTATGTCTTATGTGTTGTTTTCATCAGCACAATGGTACATGTATAGAGCTGTATTCCAGCTGTGGTTCAGGCTGGATGAATGGTTCTAAAACACACACACACACACACACAGCAACACATCCAGCCATGGAGGATACTGTAGGATGGCCTCCTTTGACAAACTTCTATCAGATAAACATACACACCCTTGTAGCCTTACTCTAGATTTTAATTTTTAGATGCACAAAGTGCCACTAAAAAAAAAAAAAAAAAGAAGAAAAAACTTTCTTTCCTTATTCTTTGCATTTCTGCAATGTAACAATGTCTGGTCCCGGGAAGACCACGGCATCAAGAGAGCGGTGATTGTTTCAGATGCCTTTATTTCTCTGCCAAGATGGCCATTAGTACACTCTATATACATTCTGTATAAATAGATTTTAAAGATGCTATATATATGAATATAAACATACATATATTTTTCCAGTGTAATTGTTGACTTGCTCTTCTTCTTCTCTTGTATTACCTTAACAGAGGATCACTAGCTGTCGAGAAGAGATGGGAGGGGCGTTACCAATAGGAGGCAGTTACACCTTATTTAATATCACTAAGACCTGCTCAACTGTGGCTTTAAACACACCATTCACTCAAACTGAAGGTTAAGTAGGCCTCATTGACGATACTGTACAAGACTGTAGTGTTTTTAAAGCTTTCCTTTTATTTCTCCCCCCTCCATTTCCTGTATTTGTCTGTCCTTGATCCAGAAATGTCAAAAAAACATCTACTGTATGTTGTACTACTGAATCTGACAAATAACTAGATGGTTGGCTCTTTGTTCCTAAGTGTCATGTGACTTCATGTATAGTTAAAAAAAAAGATGATGCCTCTGGATAATGTTCTGCACATAGTGTTTGGCGGCATTGTGCAGTTGTTGTATTGTTACTAGTGAGGCCTGCTTGCTATGAGCCCATTCTCTCTGATGTTGAAACAAGCAAGTAGGAGACTTGTAGTGTGACCTGCCTTTGAGTGATTCGTTGCAGCTACTGTGGTGTAACAGTATGATCCCCTTGTGTGACTCTGATGTCAAAGGCATGTTGTAAATGTGCTCTTAGCCAATGTAGAATGACACTCCTTTGTGCACTTTCTGAATAACCGTCGAAAATGCCAGCATTTGAGTCCTGACTTGTGAAAACCCTGATAGATCACGAGCAATTCAAGTATTCAACTCCACCGGAGGGCGCACTGCAAAGTATTGTCACACCTGTCTGTTGCTGTTCCCATAGAAAACAAGCCGCACGTCATGTCAGACAGAGATATGTCTTTGATTCCGCGGGTTCAGCCCCGTGCTGTCGGAGCTCAGAAATGTATTAAAAAAAGGAAGCGCTACTTTCTTTTCCAAACAAAAACCAAAAGAGATTGGTTCTCAGGTGAGAGGGGAGAGCTGCCACAGGTCAGCCAGTCAGCCGAGGCTAGAGGCTGGATCGGGGGCCTCCTGTGAAATGAGATGAGCGTGTGGGAGTGGGAAATTGATTTGCCGGGCTACACAATCTCCCCCTTGTTTTAGGAGGAGGCGTTTGTTGCATAAATATGTGTCCATCAGTCAAAAGAATGTTGAAGCTTTTAATGACTTTTAAACCCACCCCCACCCCCTTCCTCATGTCTAGTGTAACCTTTCCTCAGGAAAGATCATTTTTGATGCATTTGGTTAACAAAGTAGTATATTCTTCCTCTCTTGAAATGCACGAGAATACTACCCAAGAGTGTTAAGACTGTGAATCTTCTCCTAACTTATTTGATATGGCATGACCCCTTTTAAACTGCTTGATGAAATTGTCTACTGAGGTATGTAAATGAATAACACTGAGGCCATGAAAGCATAGCATTTAAAAAAAACAAAAAACAGTCAGCTGAGGAAGCGAGTGCAGCCTAAGGTTGGTTCTTCACCCACGCACTGTATGTTTTCTGATTTACAGAGAAGTACTGAGTGATGGAGTGAGGAGTTTTATTATTCCAAATAGCAAAGGAATTTAAAAAAGCAGACCCAGTTTCCCTAAAGCACCTGGAACGAAAATTATTTAAACATGTTGACACTTTCAGGGAAACCAGCCCAGACCAAAATCCAGCTGTGTGTTTAGGAGGGGGAGGGGGGGGGATAGGTACAGATGTGTGGCACACACCACGTAGGAAATGACTCATGAGATAAGAAAAGAATGTCTGGTTGAGTGGCACTTTTCATCAAGCTGAGCAAAACCAAAAGCAATTCCCCCCCCCCCCCCCCCTCACCCTCTGCTGTAGTTACAAGCCGTGTGGTCTTATCATGTGTGCCTTTCTCACTCCACGCATCTCAAGATAGGGTATGTTTACACTTGGCAAACCTGGTTCAAATAGTGCTGGAAACATTCAGTCTAGATCTTTTACCCAATGCTGTCGGGGAACTTGGGGGAGGGGGGGGGGGGTTACTACAGTATGTATAGGGAGATAAAACAGGCCATTTTGTGACAAAATGAGATACAAAACAACAAGCGTCTCTTAGGCTAAAGAAACTGTGATCTCATTCTGTCGATTCAGGTACCAAACTGCACGGACAGTAATCTGAAGAACATCGTCATCATCATCATCATCATCATCATCCCTAGATAATGCATCAGTGTGCAGGGCAATATTTTGAAACAAGTGGAAGTCTCTGTACATATTTGTATTCAGAAGAAACAGTGTTATTGTTGTTGTATTGAAGACAAGTTTAAAATGGCAAAAGAAAAAAAATTGTTTTGTGACAAAGAAAAAAAAAATCCACAGCCAAGGGTTGTCCTGCTAGCACATTTTTACAGAGATGAGCTATTTTTATTGGTGATTTTCTAGGCATTAATAATGATATCCTTTTCAAAAAGTACAAAACTTCCAAAATTACAAGCACTTCCACAACGATAGATTGTATGGTCCTTTTTGTTACTTTTGTAGATGTGCTCGTTCCTTTACTACTGCACCATTTTGTAAAGTGGGACAGGCCTTGGCTGTGTGTCCTCGGGGTCTCATGATGTTTGTTTTTTTTTTGTTTGGGAAGTAAAACACTGTAGATGGGCCGAACTTGTGACTGTGTGTTTGTGTACTTGTGTACATGTTCCCCTGTTCCTGTGTCAGTGTTATAAGCCAGAGAAGTGATGTCAGTTATTGTGGGGGTATGAACCATTTTAAATGTTCTCTATGAAAAACGCAAATAAAGAATCATAGACAAGTATGACTCCGTCTTATATATGTGTGTGTGTGTGTGTGTGTGTGTGTGTGTGCGCGTGCGCGTGAGTGTAGGCCTTGGGAGTAAGGACAGTTGTGTAAAGTTCTACGGTGAGGTTAGCTTAAAGGAACAGTGTGCAGGATTTAGGAGATGTATTGGCAGAAATGGAATATAATATTCTTACCTATGTTGTTATTACTGTATAATCATCTGAAACTAAGAATCGTTGTGTTTTTGATTTTTGGATGTATAGAGAGAATTGGATACAGTGTGTGTATGGGGGGGTGGGGGGGCATTCCTATGAAACTTGCTCAATGGCACATGAAGAAAAAATGGCTCAATAATGAAGTGATGACATTATCCAGGTCTTCCGTTGATGTTCTGCACCACTGGGCTCATAGAGCAAGCACCTTGTAGTTTCCTTTAACCCCGCCCCCAGCCCTCAGCTTCCTGCTTATTCTGACTGATTCTCATGACTGGAGGAAGGAAAACAGCTCTGGATTCAGCTAATAATCCATTTTACAACTTTTAAGACCCAATGCTTTAGATAAACGATATTCATAATCTTGATATTTTATCAATATCATGATGAGACTAGACGTCATCTTATTTTGAAGTTGAAGTCTTAAGTTTAGTCTTTTACTGGCGTTAAAGGCTGCATTACCGTAAGGGGATGTCATTTTCTTAACTATTCAGACTGTTGTAGCCGTTCTAATATTTATCTTTACCCACTTAGTCATTACATCTACATTACGGTTATGTATCAAAAATATCATTGTGTTAATATTTTGTAAAAGCACCAATGGTCAACTTTACAATATCGTTGCAATATTGATATTGTGTTATTTGGTCAAAAATATCTAAATATTTGATTTTCTCCATATCGCCCAGCCCTATAGCATTCGTACTGGTAAGTTGAGCTACAGGCGTCTCTTTCCCAATGTGAGTCAATGGGGAAAGGTCTTCTGGGGGCCCCATGGCATCACGTCCAGCATTCTTCCTGGGGGCTTCCCACCATGATGCACCATCATCTTTCTACAATAGCCCAAAATGCACAAACCAAACACTGGCAGCTTGAATTTGGTGGCACCTGAAGGCAACTGTAGGGGAGGGTTGAGTAGAGGGGTATTTAGCTGGGGGCACTCTGCAACCTCACCGCTAGATGCCAATAAATCCTACACACTGGCCCTTTAAGGGGCTATGAAATGCATTATGTCATTATGGAGGTCCTCCCAAGTATAACAAGACGTGTGTGTATTTTGTGTTGGAGAGAAACTATTAATCTTGCATAGCAGTAACATCGGGGCTTGTGACTAGCTAAGTATACTGTACATATGATGTATTGACACACAGTGTACTCGGTCAAACACTCACACACACACATACACACACAATGCCTTCCTGACTGGTAAACAAAATGGGGGACTCAGTGTGCTGTTAACATGCAGTTACATGTAGTTTGTATGTTGAACAGCACTGACATCTAGTGGACCATTTAGTGAACCCGCAGGTTGTGCAGACTCTTGAGTACTTGTCTCTCTGCAGCTCTTTATATTTACTCAGTTGCTTTGGCACTATCCTCCTTAAAACACTGTGTGAAATTGTCACATACTCTTTGTCTCACAACATTAAATCCAAATGTTAACGTACACATATCTTCTGTTGACACAATGATGGGTCCATTTAGTCTTGGTGGACAAAATCAATGATGCCAATCTTCTATTGAATTGTATAACTCTCTTAGGGGTTCATCCCCATTATCATTGTGTAAGAACTCATAACCTTTTAAACAGAAATGTTACATAGTTGCATGGAACAAGTTACTTGTTTCATACTTAGAATATGCAATCCAACACAAACCCTCAGATAACCATATAGCTCAAACAACACCTCATGTAACTTCTGTTGTCTCTATGTTACCTCATCAATAGGCCTTTTCTATTTCATCCTGTCCCAGTAGGGTCAGCACAGCAGGCAGTGGTGGAGGAAGTACTCTGATCTTTTACCTCAGTAAAAGTACAGAGAATAAATACTCTGTCATAAGTCAAATAAGTCAAAGTATCAAAAGGAGAAATACTGAACAGGCAAAATGGCTCATTTATTGAAGCAGTGGAGCTAATTTGCACTACTTTGTATGGGCTTTAATAAATGATAATAACAATAATACCTCATAACCCTATATTGTGTTATGAATCTGAATCTGTAAACTAACTACCAATAACAGCAGTGTATTATATAATATTTCTCTCTGAAATGGAGTAGAAGCATAAAGTAGCATAAAATGGTAAATGGTACAAAAAGTACCTCTGACTTGTACTTAAGAAGGCTACAGTATTTGAGTACTACTTAGTTACTTTTCCACCGCTGACAGTAGGCCACTGAGTAGTTCACTCAGCCAGTGAAGCCCATTAGAACAACGCAGTGGCAACCAAAGCTTATTCAATTAAATGAAAGAGCAGCTTCTCAAGCGCAGACAGCGGCTCAGCTGCAGATAGAAGACACAAGTCACATGGGTAAAATAAATCCATAAACACACACAAACCTGACGTAATATTAATATTGTGTTGCTTGTACACTCAGTCGTTGATAGCCGGAATAGAAACCGTTCATGTTGGTGCTCTCACTGCGTCTTTCATCACATTATGAACTGCTCCGGCTCCACCGCTCTGAGGGCGGAATGTAGGCCACGCTCCTCCGGCCGTCATTTTGCGTAGGCTGATTTACGTCTGACGTCAGAGCGTCAGCTGGCCGAATGTTTACATCCAGCAGTGGCGTGTTTCAGACTGGATCCCCACAACAACAGAAGGCTGAGCACACGGGACCCCGCTAAGACAGAGACCAGCAGTCTGCATTTCCACAAGGTAGAACATCAGCGTGACCGGGGCTCGTTACGGCCTCTGGAAGCTGCTGCTTTGTTTCTGTCGTTACACCAGCAGCTGTTAGCATTCTTGTCTCGATCTGTCTCCTCTTGCAGCGAGGACGAGAGGGCGGTTATTGCTGTTTGTGTTGACCTTGCCACTGCTAGGCAGACTGTTATGGGCGTGATATTTCATGTTTGTTGTTCACCAGCCGACTGTTAGACTAGGACAGCTTGGATTTTAAATGGTTATTCATTTTGGATCACCTGAGTGACGCAACTAGCAACCGCAACAACGTGCGGGCTGGGCATGTGTGCGGTGAGCTGAAACCTGCTGCAGTTACAGGACGGGACGTCCCGGCGCTTCTTCTAAACGATGCAAAGGAAAGAATGGACGTGGTGGCTAATCTAATGAATCAGCTCAATGGCAGTGTATTTGCAGGAAGTGTGTACCCCACTAGCCTACTAAAGCCCTTAGTTAGTCACAGAAAGGGTTACAGGGCCCTCTTGTGGTCATGTGGGCTAACATCCCAAAGAAGCAGTCTGGGTTTCTATTCACATGGACAACATCTCATTCTGGACTCGCTTCCCTTAGAACGGGTTTTCATTTTGATGCACCAACTGCTGTTTGTTCCTTTTATTCATTCTCTGCCTGAAAAACATCCTCTTCATCTCAGCTCAAGAGGCATCAAAGGCAGGAGGTCCGGTAATATGTAAATAGACCCGCTCCTTTGTTCTGTTATAGCCTCATGACTATGGCCAGCATTTGGCAGCCAGTGAACCCTGTGATCTCTTGTCCTTTGGCGTTGCCCTCTGGTGTTGTTTTTAACACCACTGGCAGCACTCACTCCTGCAGCTGTATTCTGCAGCCGAAAGCTTCATTTAGGCCTCTACATGTGGTGGGTCAGGCTTATTTGTGTGGAAAGTCTCAAAGAGCAGAGTTGAAATGGAATGTAAAAAGCCTTTCTAACCATTTTTAACACATCCTCAGTCATTTTGTGCACCTTTTTAACAATACATGCAATTTATTTATTTTCTTTCACAAAAAAAAGATCTTTCAGTTTCTTTGTATACCAAAGTCCAATCATCATTTTATTCTGTAAAACAAAATATGGCATGTGCTAATCGTAAGCTAGTACCAGGCGGCAACCTCCGGTTCTGAAAAGTGAAGCCAAAACTGAAGTGCCTTAAACCTGCATTCTCTCTAGTGACCATCAGGGGGCGACTCCTCTGGTTGTGTAGAAGTATATGAGAAAATGACTCTACTTCTCTCTTGATTTATTACCTCAGTAAACATTGTAAACATGAGTTTATGGTCTCAATCTCTAGTTTCAAGTCTTCTTCAATACAGCATGATGTTCATTTAGTAAATTATGGTCCATTTAGAATCAAACAGACCATAAAGCAGGGAATGCTTTAGGGCGGGGCTACTTTGTGATTGACAGGTCGCTACCACAGAGTTGTCTGGTCTGAGAGTTGTCCCTGTTTTTGTTTCAGAACTTTAACCCTTTCACTGTGTGTTTTCAGGTCATGAAATTTAATTGCAGAATTTTTATCACCCAAAAATGTCATATTCAGTTTTTGGTTGTACCACCTTCTCGTGTCACTTCTGGTTGTAAAAAAAACAAGACGGCGACGGCCAAAAACCAAATGTAATACTTCAACACAGAAGTCCACAAACCAATAGGCGATGTCATGTTGGATACGTCCTCCTCTTGCATTGCTAGAACCAACTAATTTCAAGCAGTAATATCCTGACATCCATCCATCAATCAATCTACAACTTTTAGCCACAATGAAGGTGTGTGGAACAGACTTGTGTTCACACTAAGAATAAAGCAACAACACGGCCCAGCGAAGCCAGCTACTTGTAAAGCTCAAGCACTTGTTGACGGAGATATGTCATAAAATAGCATTGAGAAGGAGCTAATAGCATTTTAAAAATAGAACGGAACAAGGTGTCATCCGTCAGTTTGTAGCTTCATTTCACCAGCATCCATTGAAGCTTGACTTGTAGCCTGCTGCTGTGTGTCACTCATAGTGTGAACACACTAGTGATCCAATCAAATGCAAAAGATTTGATTTAAATCCCTCTGGTACACCGCTCACATGCTCCATTTCACTGGAGAATACTCACAGTACAGAAGCTAAAGATGCTCTAACTTCCTCACTGGGTCATTAATGGTAGTAGCATTTTGAATCCATATCAACCACTACTCTGTGCTGTCAAATCAGACATGTATTGTCAGGTTGTGATTGTCTTGGAGTTTATCCAAGTTGTCCACAGTTTCAGTTATTACAAAAGGACAGTCTTAAAGGACCAGTGTGTAGGATTTAAAGTGATTTATTAGCAGAAATGGAATATAATATTCATAACTATGTTTTCATAAATGTATAATCACCTGAAACAAAGATCATTTGAATAATTAGAATTAGATTAAGCCCTTTATCTATAGGGAGCAGGTCCTCTTCATGGAGTCCACCATGTTTCTACAGTAGCCCAGAAGGAACAAACCAAATACTGGCTCTAGAGAGGCTTTAGTGTTTTTACGTCTCCTGAAGGCCACCTACTTCTCTAACTTGCTTGGAAAGGGAGCGAGCAGAGGGGTGTTCAGTTTGTTGCACTGTGTAACATCACCACTAGATGGCACTAAACCCTACACACTGGCCTTTTAAAGAAACTGATGGTTGATTATGAATATGATGGTTGAAGGAGTTTCAATATTGAATAGTGTGTGTGCTTTCGTTGAGTCTTTGAAATGACAAAGAAATAGTACAAAAAATATGCAGATCTTTTTCCCTTTTTCTCAGAGCACAAGGTGTTTCCTTAATATTGCTGGTTTTGTACAACCAACAGTCCAACAGCCAAAGACTTTTCATTTACTTAGAAAAACAGCACATCCTCTACATTTAAGAAGCTTGAACCAGAGAATCTTTGGCATGTTGTATTGTGACTAATCATTGAATTTATTAATTATTTCATAACATAGACTCTGATATGAAAGACTAGTGTACATTCTGTTTGTTGAACTGATGAGAGGAAATGAAGACTCTACCTAATGTATTTAGTTGGTCTCATTTATAAAGTATGTTTATTTCATATACGTTTTCAATAACTAAACAAAGTTGTGATTTATCAAACATACATCTCTTCTAAATGGCTGGTTTACCTTTTCAAAGTATATATAAGATGATGAGGAAATGGCAATGAAGATGATCAGGAATGTTCATTTACAGACAAATTCTCTCTTCCCCTGATTATTATTATTATTATTATAATAATAGATAAGGCCTGTTGTGAATTGGGTCGCGATGGTTTGACATTTTTGAAAATGGGTTGTTATAAAGAGCAAGTTTGAGCACAAGTATAGACGTCTGATGAGAATGGATTTGGATCTATTTCTGTAAATAATCCAGATGACAGGGTTTGATAATTAGTGTGTAGCTATGCTCACTGTAGACTGGTTCTTATGTCATTTGGGATAGTAAGTTACCTGCTTCTCTTTGCCTCCAGTTAACATGGGTGGAGCTGTGAGTGCCGGTGAGGACAATGACGACTTGATTGACAACCTGAAGGAGGCTTACTACATCCGCTCAGACCTGGTGGAGCGGGCCTTTAGAGCTATCGACCGGGCTGACTATTACCTGGATGAATACCGGGATAATGCCTACAAGGTGAGCACACTAAAAGTCTGTGAAATCATCCAAACAGGGTACAAAGAAATTCACAGCATTCACTTGTAGAATGCGATAATACTGTTGTTGTTGTTGTTAGGACTTGGCATGGCGGCATGGAAAGATCCACCTGTCTGCTCCGTGTATCTACTCTGAGGTGATGGAGGCTTTGGACCTCCACCCTGGCCTCTCCTTCCTCAACCTGGGCAGTGGGACTGGCTACCTCAGCACCATGGTCGGCCTCATATTGGGTATGTGGTGTCTTTATAATTGTTGTGGTGAACTTGTGGCAGTGTGAAGGTTACAGGCACACACCCTTGTGAACTGAGAGATAGTGGTTCAAATTCTTTATGCCTTGTCAACTTGTCTGGATACATGTCATGGTCTGGGAATGTGAAAAAGTGGCTGACTTTTGGGATAAAATGGCCTCACTGATATCTCACATGATTGGACATCAATCCCTATTGACCCAAATGTTCTGCTGCTTAATGATGACTCTAAACATTCTACACTTGTTTGAAAAAGAGAGACAAAATCTGGCCAGGAAATTCAACCAGGAAAATGAAAGCACAATGCTGCTGTCAGCTAAGAGCCTGTTTGTCATATTTAGAAGAAAAAGAGCTGAAAAGTAAACAGAGAAATGTGAGGACACTTATGCTTTGTAGCCAACAAGGTAACAAAAACAAGCATTGTTTGACAAACGATCTTAGCAGCATATGACAATAATCACAACTTGGATTAATTTACTATGAAAACATGTTTTGATTCTTTTGACCAATATGGACTAAGGAATATAAATAATCAAGGAATGGTCTCAAATTAATTCAGACTTAATGACAAAGGTAGTAAGTCACCGTCTTTCTTGTCTGCCATTAGGGCTGTACCTAATAGTTTAAAGCTTTGAAGTTTCATTCAAACTTTGACATAAGAGTTATTTTAATTGATAACTCACAGAAACATTGCATGCAATAGTCCATCTTCTGTCTATCTCTCTTCCTCTCTCACACAGCGAGCAATGTCGTGTTCAATCCTGAATAAAAAGATAGATCTAATCATTTCCAACGAAATATTCTGCTTCTATCCATACTTGTTTGCGTTTAGCATTTCAAAAGCAACATTTTCACTGAGGTCAATAAATGGTTTGTTTTCCAGATTGCCACAACTGTAGGCTATTGACAGGGCAGTTGAGCAGCACCATAAATTACATTTATATTACCTCGAAAACAAAAACCTTTCTCTCTTTGTTTTAGGCTGATGACATAATCAAATATGAGGAGAGACATTCAAAGCTTCATACAAATTCCTCAATAGAAGCTTCAAATGTAAAGTCAAAAATAAATAAAGGACTCTCTGTACAGCAGTATTTACCATGCCGGTATATCTGATTGAAATCTGATAATTTGGTGCTCATGGTTTCTTTAAAATGACCCGAACAATTGAATTGTGGACAATCTAACCAATCAATGATGTGCAGCCTGTCCATATTGACAAAAGCTACCTGACGTCTCATGGAGATATGTGTTTATTTGTCAAAACGTGTCGCCACACCGACCAGTAAAAGAGACTCATCGTCTGAATGTGGCTCAGATTTTAATTGAAGTTTTTCTCCAATCAACCTACTCTGAGTCGGTTGTTGAGTCTTATGTCCTAGTGCCATTACAAACACATCTTTGTGTCCATGTCAATTTCAAACTGTGAGCTGAGGTGTGCTAACTGTTCCAGGACCATTCGGAGTCAATCACGGAATAGAGTTACATGCAGATGTGATTGATTATGCCTACCAGAAGCTCGACTGCTTCATCAAAACCAGCGACAGCTTTGACAAGTATGTGTCCAAATGTGTCAGTGACGTTTTATTGTTCCTCTATATTTTTTCTATATCATCTTTTACCCTTCTGCATAATGTTTTCATTGCTCCTGTATCTGTCTTTAGATTTGAATTCTGTGAGCCGTCCTTTGTTGCGGGTAACTGCCTGGAGATTCCTCCAGAGAGCCGTCAGTATGACAGGGTGTACTGCGGGGCCGGGGTGCAGAAGGAGCACGAGGACTACATGAAGACCCTGCTCAAGGTGGGGGGCATCCTGGTGATGCCTCTCGAGGAAAAGGTTGATGTCTTGCCAGAGAAATTCAGGATCGTTCAAATCTGCATATTAGGCAGCACTTAAATTAAGTCCCCGTATTTAACATTTATAAGCAGTAAATGAGCAGTGAATATACACACTGTAATATAATTGTAAGCAGATATACAATCTTTATTATTATTATTATCAACAACTATAACCCCTGAGTGGAGGCTGCTCAGTATCAAGTTTATTATGAATAGAGTTTGGCTCTACAGAACACAAAATAACCGATGTATAAATACATCAGCAACGTTATCTTCATGCTCATAAACGCAGAGTTACGTCTGGTCTTTGGGGGACCAAAGGCGTTTCCCTCCATTTCTGATTAAATAGCGTCGGGACGACAGTATTGCAAATGGGTAAACCAAATGTAAACAGGAATGTAGTAAATGTATTTGCATAATGAGAATTAATAAATATGCATTTCCCTAAAGAGATTCAAATGTACCCCGGCAATCTAAATTTGGTACGTCACAAATTCGAAAGCCAATGGCTGTCTAATACGCAAATGCCAATACATAGACAGGGAATCTGTCTTTGACACAACACCGTCAAAGAAACCTGAAACCTCCAGCACAGAGCTGACTGGTCAGCACAGAGCTGACCGGTCAGCACAGAGAGCGACCCTGGAGCTTCCCTCCACGGTCTACCAAACAAATCCCACTAACTACTTATTGCATGCTTCACAACCACTTAAGCCAGTGACAAACCACATAAATAAAAGATGCTAACTACACTTACCATTCTGATACGACTACTTGTTGCTCAGCCATACATGTGCCTTTTTTCCAATTTCTTTTTTTTTTTTTACTTTTTATATGGGAAAACATGTTAAACAAAATATGAATCATAGCAGAGTATATTTACAGTCTTAAAAACGTGTCTGCAAAGGAACTTCTATCTGCTAACAACTATATTATAAAATGTTACAAACCATTTCTAAAATGTTTATTTACTGAGTGTCTGGAAATGTTACCATTTTGTTTGCTTTGATTAGTATTTGTTGTATTGAAACAATTTAAAAAACAGTAGAGCAGCTGAGAAAAAAAATGTACACACACAAAAAGGGAAATGAAAAAAGCTTTAATTTCCTGATGTTGTATTTTCTGCAGTTGACCAAGATTACCTGTACGGGGCCGAACAGCTGGGAGACCAAAAAGATCATTTCTGTGTCCTTCGCTCCTCTGGTGCTGCCTAAACACGGCACAAATCGCAAACCCAAGAATGTCCCACTACGTGAGTGCAACTAAATATAAATAATGTGTCTAATTCTAATCTATAATGTGTCTAATCCCCCCTCCCGCATTTCCCCTGTTTTCTTGTGATTCTTTATTTTGCAGCTAAGTATGAGGTACGGACGTTACAGGAGCTGTCTCGCATCTGTATCCGCCACACCCTCAGAGTGAACACAGATGGAGGAGACAGCCAGTCACGCGGCCGAGGTTCCTCGTTCAGCGTCGGCAGGGGTCTGGCGGTGGCCGGGCTCCATAAGTACGGCCCTCGCTTCAAACGCCGACGCGTCCACCGGCGCCACTGCAACGCCCTCGTCCTGGCCACGCGTCAGGTGGTGGCCAGCAGTGGCATTGGCCCCGCCCCTCTGGACGGCAACGACAGCCAGGGAGGGAAAGCGGAGGACGAGGAGGAGGCCGGAGAGAGGGAGGTGAGGCGGCAGATGAGGGGGAGCAGGAGAGCGGGGAGGGGAGCAGGAGGGGTGGTGGAAGAGGAGGAGACGGTGGAAGAAGAAGATGAGGAGGAGGAGGAGGAGGAGGAGGAGGAGGAGGAGCAGCAGCAGCAGCAGCAGCAGCAGCAGCAGCAGCAGCAGCAGCAGCAGCAGCAGCAGCAGCAGCAGCAGCAGCAGCAGCAGCAGCAGCAGCAGCAGCAGGAGGAGGAGGAGGAGGAGGAGGAGACCGGGGAGCTGCTCCGACCCCAGCCGGCCGTAAACGTCCTTAGAGAGAGGATCCTGGGCCTGCCGCTGCCCGAGCCTCTGAAGATGTACCTGCTGTACTACAGAGAGAAATGAGCCTGCTAAGGCCACAGCCAGGTCCTGAGTCAGAGCCCAGAGCTGGAGGCAACGACCCAGCAGAAGCCCACGTCTCCCTTGCAACCCCACCACCACCTGTACAAGGCAGGACAACATGCCACCTACCTTACTGACCCTTAGCTCCACTCGCTCACCTGCTCTCGCCTTCTCCATCATCCATTTTCTCTGCCACTCCCTCTTTTTGCCCTCTGTTCCAACTGTTCTTTACTTGATTCATTTCCTGACATGATAAAGAGTCAGCTCAATTTGTCCAGTGGAGGAGGGAGGCAATGATTTAGACAAATAAACAGTCACTGATGTAAAAATTGCATCTCCATGTAGGTGCAAAAGAAATAAATACAAGTACATGATACATACACAGATGATCAGTTTGCAGCTCTGTTTATCTAACATGCCAATCAAGCCTTGCCTAACAACAGCTTAACAGTGGCCTGAGTATCCACAGCTTAGTGGTGCAGAGAAGGACCATCAGAGTTCAGACAGTGTAGCATCAAGCAGAGAGAGAAGCTTACCCATAGACCAGAAGGCAGAGGACGGCCCCTGCTCTTTTAGAGGGGAAGACATAGAGTGGGCCCAGAGATCAAGAAAATGTGCATTCAAAGTTTTCATGATGTTATATTTTCTCTCTCAGTATATCATATTCAATGATATTGTAGCTTGTGACCAAGATGGTGTTGTGGTTGTGTTTATTTCCACTCATTTCCAAATATAAGGGGAGCATTGTTTATGAGCCCTCAGTTCATTAAAACAATTAAATGATCTGCTTTTCCAAGGCCGATCGTTGCTCATTATTTCCAGCATTGTCTTCGGACACTCGTAGAGATAATGGAAGTTTGAGTTCTCCCTCTTTCTATGCATATATTTAACTGTATGAATAAAAGTCCACCTTTGTCTCCTGATGTCGTCACATGGAGATGAAACTGTTCTAAATCCTTACATTTGTATCCGAACGGCAGTCTCACTGTTTTTCTCTACATCCCATTTTATTCTCTCACCCAAAAGAGAATGACTATAAAAGATCTCATACTTACTAATATTCCAATTTACAAAAGTAGACCAGCATGATAACACATAAACTGATGTTTTTGATGACTGACAGTGTGCAGGTTTTCTTTTTTCTTGTAATAATTAGATTTTTGAATTTCATGAATCTTGAAGTGGCGTGTACAGTACATATGAAATTGTATGTTTTGTGAATCATAAAAAAATCTCGAGATACTACAAAGATACTTTGATGAGTAGAGTAAGTATCTTGTCTCACATCTTTCTGTTCGTTAGTTAGATGGAGCGTTATTCCTTTATACTCTTTGCTTTTGTACCAAACCTTCTGCTCCCCTCTGTGCCAAACTTCCATTGCATGGACTGAATCCTCAAGAGGAAACGGCAGATCATCAACAAGTCACGCTTGAAGAAGAAGAATTTGTTGATGTTTTTTCATTTCAAAAACTTCTCCACTACCACTGAAATGACACTTGTGGTTGTTTATGTATTAGTTATCATGTAAAGCTTTAGATTTCTCCCATTGGAAAGTTTGTATTTGACGAATGTGATGAATAGCAAATTGATCTTTGCACAAGGCATAACAGATGCACCCTGCATCAGTAAATACAGTCAAGGAGATAAAGAATGGATATGATCACAATAATGGGAGGGATTTCAATATGTGCAGTTTATATTGGTAATTTATCCAACACTGAATGTGAGGATTGTGGCCAACAAGCAGGTCCTCATCTGGCCAGGTGACTCGCATCCCTTTTGACTCCTGCTGAGTGTGATGTCATGCTTCACTGTTTGGCCATTCTACCATTTCTACTGCTGCTAGATCTGCCTATTAAGTCCTGTATGCACACCTTTCCTTTATTCGACATTAGTACCATTTACGTTTGTTTGTTGTGCATTTGTGATTCTCTGCTGAATGTACATACATGATGGGTTTTTTGGGGGGTTTCTTTTGCACTTGATATTAAGTTTTGGAGAGAATGAATTGCTTGTTTTTAAAATTGAGCTGTATTATTGACTACTGTTAATAAAGTCCATGATACAAAAGAGTCCTGTTGCAAATGAAATGATTGTATTAGCTAACACAGCGGCTTACGAAGAATGTCTTTTATTTTGGTTAATAAACACAGGAAATACTTCAAACCTGTTAGATGGCCTCACCAAGTTTAGAGATGTTTTTCTTTTTTTAACTTTATAGAGCCCAACTAATTTACAGTTTAATTAAACCTTCAACAATCGGTATGGCTTTGTCTCTGTTAAAGAGAAATGAATACATGTTTAAATTACTGTTGTGTCTGCTGACCCTGGGATGGCAGGTCCGGGAGTTGTAACCCCAGGTATGTGGGCATGCCCCCACAGGCGCTATAGCTCTCTGTCACACCAGTTTGCTTCTCCACTAAAGAAATTTCGATTTTCCTAAAATTGCCAATATTCTAAATCTACACCGTTAATTTAAGTGATGAAATAGGTAAAAAAATGTACCGCTGTCGGTCTGTTATTCTGCTGTTTGGGTGCCCTTGGACGATGGGAACAAAAACGTGAGCTGCCATTGCTGAGTTGCTCTCCTTCAGGGCCTGTGTAGTTTGTAGGGCCGGATATGTAGCTAGGCTAATGTTAGCCTTTAGCAGAAACTAAAATCTGATGTATCTGATGCCCCAAACTTTTGTTTTTATTTTTTCATGGATCTGCACAGTTCACATGGGGCGTGTTTTAATGTTGGAAATTCAGAAAATCTGGAAAAAAATCACTTTCAAAATATATTATATTTTCAGGACTATGATGGAGTTACAAATAAAGCTAGTATACAGAAATACTTGTGTTGACAGATGTCAATCAGAGAGCCACAGGGATGACGTATTTTTGTAGGCCAACCCCAGAAGTTAGCATCACACTGGTTCCCTTGACAAACATCCACTGGATTCCATCATTGGATTTTGGATTATTGCCGAAAATAAGCTCTGTGGCACCTCGGTCACATGACTTCATGTCACCACCTCTAAGCTAGAGGCGGTCTAGGCGCGATGGCGTTTTGTAGTCTCATTTAGCCACTTGTTAGCAGTGGTGGGCCGTCAGGGCCAGCTAAGCCTTCTCTGCTGCCCTAAACAGAATCACAAAGTTATAGATATTTTATAATTTTTCACAAATACACTACATGTATTATAATTATTTTTCCCGTTAGCTTATTTTCTCATTACACAGCTACTGTCTTCCTCTATTGCTCTGCTTCCAGTGCAGCTTGTTTTAAGTAGAGCTTTTATCCAATCAGATTCAGCCCCTATGTCTCTATGTAAGGAGAGAGGCCCGATGCCCGAGCCTTTGCAGTTTATGTTAATAGGGACGATATTGTTGATTGTCATAGTCTTCAACCAATCAGATCTTTAGTTTGACATGTTGGGCGTATTCTGTGACGTGCCGGTGTTACCCAGGTAGCCTGCTAAGTACGTCTGCATTAATGTGCGCCATGATTGGTCAGTGGGCCAGCGTGTGACTAATGTGAAATTTAAGGAAGCTGGCAGAAGTTAGTTGGAGTAGTAAGAGTTCAAATTGTAAGATATGGAAGAAATAATAACATTTTTAGGGTTTTGCTTGGTGTAGTTTATTTATTTGTATGAACGGTGTTACTGGCTGACAGCGTCGCACATTTTATGGCTGGGAATGTTTCATTTTATTTGAGCGTCTTGGTGTTTGGAGCTACGCTAAGCTAACCTGAGGACGCCATAGCATGGCAGGACACTACGGTGCTTTTGAAAACTTTTGGAGAAGCCCGAGTGGATCTACAGATCAACGAACACGTTCGCAGGGAAACGGAGCTCCACAACAATGTAATAAATCTGTATTTACACCATCAAAACTGTGAAAAGTAATAAAAAGGATGGCAGCGAACCAACCATGTTTAAAAATCAAAACTTCATGGACCAACTTTCTGGTGTTTTTAGTTATGATAGTTCGGTGTCGAGGGGGAGCTACTGACATTGTGCCCGCGGCCGAGATCCCACCTCCGCTGTATGGATCAGCAGCAAGCACATCTCTCAAAAAATTTAATAATATTCAATATCAGTCAATGAGATTATGCACCTATGCCTTTAAAACAACCCCAGCATTACTGATTGAAATCGGAGCAATGCTGCTAGAACTAAGAAGATCTCAGTTAGCATTGAGTTATAGGGCTAACAGGGACACAGTAAAGAGCATCCAACACAGGAAACTTTAACTTTAAAACCTTGCTGGGAAATGGAGAGGAGGGAGACAAGAAGCTTTGGATGGACAGTAGCACAAAGAGCAACAGAACTTAACATAGCTAAATTAAACTTCAGCCCAACAGTCCCAGTGACAGCAATAGTACCGTGGATACTTCCTGATGCAACAGTAGACTTTGCATTACTAAAAAAGGATAGAGGAGGTATTTTCTATTTGCATACAATACAGACACATATTGACAGTTACCACAGTTACATCCAGGTTTTCACAGATGCATCAAAGAGTTTAGTAAACAAGATAGGAGTAGCATTTATTGTTCCAGAATTTAATATTAAAATAGGTAAAATGATCACAGAGGGACTATCAGTGTACACAGTGCTGCAATAATGTCAGCACTACAGTGAATAGAGGACACACGACCATTGAGGGCAATCATTTGTTCAGACTCAAGTTCATTATTAGCCATCTTACAGAACAGCCATTCAGACAGTAGACCAGACATCCTTATTGAAATACAACAAACATTATACATAATTTAAATGATGGGTCTGGCAGTCATGTTCCTATGGGTACCAGCATATATTGTTGTCAAAGGAAATGAAATGGAAGATAAAGCTGCTAACGTTAGCATAGCTATGTGAAAACAGCTGATGTTGACTGAGAATCGCAAGTATCCCATTAGCATGCCTGGGCGCTAATTGCGATTAGTGACAGAGGGCGAGTCAGCTGGTCAGGAGTAGATTGCCGTTGTGTCTTTAGTGTGAATTTCTTTTACCTGAGTACCAGCAACATTGTCAACCTTCATTTTCAGATGTTTAGTGATGCTTTTAGTCTCTTCTGTATTTTCAGATTGTAGTGTGGTTCATTCATTGCAACATTTAACCTTATTCTCATGTATTACAGCTTGACAGATCATTTATACTAACGACCACTAACATGATTTTAAAGCTATGTTATCATTCTTTTGCTCTCCAAACATCTGTAAATACGCATATTTCAATCAGGGAAATTCCTATTCCCCCAGTAAACTCCGTTTTTGGGCCATGTTATATCTAAACTCTACAGCGACAGCTCTCCTCCCTCCCAGGCCTAAACCAAACTGGCCTTAGCATGCACAAGCTCATCTGTGTTTGGCAAGTATAGCAAGAATATGTCAATGTATCTCATTCAGGTGAGATGAAAGTGTCAGAATCCAGATTACATACTAAACTTGCTCTTCAATGAGGTCTACTGTTGGATTAAGTCCTTTTCACCCTGTTGATTATTTAAAGGAAATATCATTTCACTAACAAGGACCACGCCAATAACAATATGAGTTTCGAGAGGTTTATTGCGTGAAGGAATGATTGTTAGAATTAGGAAGCGGAAGGGGTCGAGGGAGAGGGATGAAGGGTAGGGGGAGGTAGGGATAGGGGTAGAGGGATGAAGGGATGTGGAGTGTAGGGGAGAAGAAACGAGGAGGGTAGAGAAGGTCGTAGAACGAAGGTTGGGCGAGCGATGGGGGACCGTTGGAGTCTGATGACTGGCGGGAACTCGGGGAATGGAGACTGTAGAGTGGGGGCCGTCTCTTTGGAAGCTCTGGTTGTGCAGATTCCACAAAGAGAGAAAATAGACAAAAACTGGGTTGGGGGGAGGGATGTGAAAGCAGGGTCGAAGAGGAAGTGAACAGCTTCATTGTCCTTAAATACTTTGTCCATGTTCCCGAACTTTATAAAACTCAATATATTCTATGTTTTACACCAGCAAGGCTGGTGAAATGACACCTCATCTGAATTCAAACCCACCTGACATCTTTTGCATTTATACTTCACATTCAAAATGTGGCCGTGTAGTGTATATAATAATCATGGCCTATTTGTGTGTCTTATGGGGAAAAGCAGAGACCAAAAAGCAGAATGAGCAGCAAGAATTACACTTAGCAATGCTGAAGTTGTCGGAGTAAAGGGTAAAGAAACAACAGGAGCTTGGTAAGCTTATATGAGATTGCCAGCAGCAGCAGGGGCAATAGCTACTGGGAATAATTATAGTTTTGTTTATTTAGGCAAGGCAAGGCAAGCTTATTTGTATAGCACATTTCAACAACAAGGTAATTCAAAGTGCTTCACATAAAACCATTAAAAGCATCAAAACATAAGGCAAAAGAAAAGGAGATTTAAGAACATTCATTGAAACATTAAAAACAGTCATTAAAACAGAAAGCAGTGTAAGAAATAAAATACAGTAGTAAAATGCAGAAATTGATTAATATCCTTGAATCTGGTTCAACTAAAGGCAGCAGCAAACAATCTTGATTTAAAGGAGCTGAGGGTCTCAGCAGACCCGCAGCCTTCTGGGACTTTGTTCCAGATATGTGGAGCAGAACAACTGAACGCTGCTTCTCCATGTTTAGTTCTGACTCTGGGAACAGAAAGTAGAGCAGTCCCAGACGACCTAAGGGGTCGAGATGGTTCATAAGGTAGCAGCACATCAGAGATGTGTTTTGGCCCTAAACTATTCAGTGCTTTATATAACAGCAGGATTTTAAAGTCAAGTCTTTGTTGGACAGGAAGCCAGTGCAAAGACCTCAGAACTGGAGTGATGTGATCCACTTTCTTGGTCTTAGTGAGGACGTGAGCTGCAGCATTCTGATTGACTTGTTACAGAGACCTGTAAACACACCGTTACAGTAGTCGAGTCTACTGAAGAGAAATGCATGGACAAGTTTTTCCACATCCTGTTGAGACATAAGTCCTCTAATCCTTGATATATTCTTCAGGTGATAGTAGGCTGATTTTGTAATTGTCTTGATATGGCTGTTCAGGTTGAGGTCTGAATCCATAACTACACCTAGATTTCTGGCTTGGTTTGTGGTT